AAATGATTTTTTTGGTCCTTTTAAGCAAATAAATATTACGAAAAAAAGATATTTTTTGATTTCCTTAATTTGGGATAATTATTTTCCAAGAACGGGCAAAGCGGTGAGTCATCTTTCCTTATAAATGATCACAACCCCGAGGACTGTTGGTTTCGTGTAGAACAAATCCTTCTCTGAGAAAACAACAGATCGGGATTTTATCTTTATCAACCGGAAAAAATGGAGAAAGCGATCGAAAGACAACGGGTTCTTCTTGAACATCTCCGACCTTCTTCTTCTTCTTCGCACAATTTCGAAGCTTCTCTATCCGTAAGCGTTCTCTCTCATTCTCTATCGATCGATCTATCGCGATCTCTAGGACTGTCTTCTCTTGTGTTTGTAGTCTGGGGTTGATGGATCGTTGTTGATCTGGATTCTTTCTATGCAATTTGGATTTTCATTTTGATACTGAATTATAATTTGATTCGATGCGTGTCTGTGAGCTGAAAATTTTGAGTTTCAGCTCGATTGAGATCAAATTCAAGACTTGGATTTTGTTTTTGTATTTCGTTCACTGGATTGAGATAGATATCTTCTTTTTTTGTTGTTTGATTTTTGTTCGATGGGGTTGGATTATCAGTGCTCTGCAGAAACTGTGCATGTTCTGATGATTTCTTTAAAGTCAAAGCTTCGTGTAATCTCTTTAACGTGTTCTTCCCAAATTATCAGGCTTCTGCTTGCTTGGCTGGGGACAGTGCTGCCTATCAGAGGACCTCTCTTTATGGAGATGATGTTGTGATTGTCGCGTAAGTCCCATCTCTTATGCTTTCTCTCTTTTGGTATTTGTTTTTTCAATAACGTTTGAATACTTCTTGTATCTTTCTGTTAGACTCACACGTATTGATCCATTGCAGGGCACATAGGACTCCACTATGCAAGTCGAAACGTGGCAACTTCAAGGATACATATCCTGATGATTTGCTCGCACCTGTTTTGAGGGTCTGTCGCTATCTTTTCTATTCTGTTGTTGGTTTTTATTTCCGTCCTACTTTTTAGTGATATATAGTATCTTATTGGCACAGGCATTGATAGAGAAGACAAATCTAAACCCAAGTGAAGTTGGGGACATTGTTGTTGGTACTGTTTTGGCACCTGGATCTCAGAGAGCCAGTGAATGCAGGATGTCTGCGTTCTATGCTGGTTTCCCTGGTATGTTTCTTCTGTGTGCTGTATGGTGATGAAACTCTTTTTTTTCTATTGGCTTTATACTAATGCTGTTATGTACTTTGGCAGAAACCGTGGCTGTCAGAACTGTGAATAGACAGTGCTCATCTGGGCTTCAGGCTGTTGCTGACGTAGCCGCTGCAATTAAAGCTGGATTTTATGACATTGGTTAGTGAATAACGGCTTTGATTACGCACGCCACTATCCTCCTTTTTTTAATAGAGAACTGAGCTGACGATATGATGGATGCAGGTATCGGGGCTGGGTTGGAGTCCATGACTACCAATCCAATGGCATGGGAAGGGTCAGTCAACCCAGCGGTACTGATTCTCTCTTAGCTCGAGTCTTAACTGGCTCTGTTATGTTTATAGCCTACTATAATACGGACTATGTTATTTCAGGTGAAGAAGTTTGCACAAGCACAGAATTGTCTTCTTCCTATGGGTGTTACTTCAGAAAATGTAGCACAACGCTTTGGTGTCTCAAGGCAGGAGCAAGATCAAGCTGCTGTAAGGCAACCGAACTTTTTCAGTATGGTTGTACTTTAGATAACCTATAACTTTGATCGCCTAATGCTAAGCTATCGAGTCATATTGCTAGGTTGACTCGCACAGAAAGGCAGCTGCTGCTACTGCTGCTGGTAAATTCAAGGATGAAATCATTCCTGTTAAGACCAAGGTATTTTCCAGACCCTCCATATGTAACATTTAAGACTTCTCCTCGTGCATTAGTTACTGAACTTCATTCATGTTCTTATGATAGTCAATAACGTGATTATATTTCAGCTTGTTGACCCAAAGACTGGTGATGAGAAACCCATTACAGTTTCTGTTGATGATGGTATCCGACCAACCACAACTCTTGCTTCTCTTGGGAAGCTGAAGCCAGTGTTTAAGAAGGATGGCACCACAACCGCTGGTACTTTTCCCGAATCTATTGTTTCATTATGAAGACCACAGTTCTTATTATCCAATTTTGAATCCATTGCTTCATTTGTTCTGTCGCAAACAGGAAATTCCAGCCAAGTAAGTGATGGTGCAGGAGCTGTTCTCCTCATGAAGAGAAGTGTTGCAATGCAAAAAGGACTTCCCGTTCTTGGTGTATTCAGGTGGGTGATAATTGCTGATAAAGATACGACGGTAGAAGTCTGAAAACCGAAAACTGCAGATACTTGTGATTTCCATTTACACAGATATGCTAGTATATGTAGATAATACATTGTTCTTTCTGTATTTGGCTTTTCCTAAGTAGCACAGTATTGGACGTATTGCAGGACATTTGCTGCAGTTGGTGTTGACCCTGCAATCATGGGTATCGGTCCAGCAGTTGCCATTCCTGCTGCAGTTAAGGCGGCTGGTTTAGAACTTGATGACATCGACTTGTTTGAGATCAACGAGGTAAATAGGAAACACTTCCATGATCTTATTACCACGTATCTATTCCCGCACATTCTGATGATGACCCTCGGTTTTAATCCTTGTGTGTTCAGGCATTTGCATCTCAGTTTGTTTATTGCCGTAACAAATTGGGACTTAACCCAGAGAAAATCAATGTCAACGGAGGCGCAATGGCCATAGGCCATCCTTTGGGTGCTACAGGTATATCTGTTAAGAACAGGGCTGTAAAACTGTTATGCTTATTCCAATTCACCAAACCATAGAGACTTGATTAATGAGATACTCTCAACTCTCAACCAAACCTTAGGAAATCCACAGCCAAAACTAATCTTCCGATATATATATCTTTATGAACTCAGTCCTCACGACACCAACGGTTTTTTAACCAACTTACAATAGCTCTACCTTGCTGCAGTTCGTCCTAGTTGTCTTCAAAGCATATCAATGTCTCCATTGTGTCCATATAATTATAAAACGCTAATGTATAGTGGCTAATACTAATACTTGTTATAAAACTCTCACAGGAGCGCGTTGTGTTGCTACATTGTTGCACGAGATGAAACGCCGTGGAAAAGACTGTCGTTTTGGAGTAGTGTCAATGTGCATTGGTATGCTTTTTCATTGTGAAATTTGGTGTCTGAAATATGTTTTTGAGGGATGGTTTTACTGATTTGGTAAACTCTGGCAGGGACGGGGATGGGTGCAGCGGCTGTGTTTGAGAGAGGAGATGGAGTTGATGAGCTTCGCAACGCAAAGAAAGTTGAAGCGCAAGGTCTTTTGTCCAAGGATGCTCGCTAGAGATGACCATGCACCAAAACCCTTCTTCACCTCACCACATATTTGATCTCACCTCTTTCTTCTGGTCCTCTTTTCCCTTTCTTCAGATATTATTATAGTTTTGAATAAAGCACACAACCAATGTTTGCCTGAGTCTTGTGTTCTTCTTGACCAGGTCATGTGTTTAGTATTTTTTACGTGAAGGGGGATAATCTTTAAATCTTTTATTATATGTAAGAATATTGTTCTTCTCGAATTTCGGCTGTTGCTTCTGGAAATTTTAGAATATTTGGCTGGCAAAAAATTTTAGATTTCAATGGATAAGTCGAACTTTCTTAAAGTCAAGAGTCTGACTTTTCTTGGTGTTTGATGATTTGTAATGAATTAAATTAAAAAAATGTTTCTATTAGTAATTGGGGTGGTGGCGCAGTTGGCTAGCGCGTAGGTCTCATAGCTACTGAGTGATCCTGAGGTCGAGAGTTCGAGCCTCTCTCACCCCATTATTCTTTTTCCCTTTTGTAGTACATTATACTGTATTATTCAAATAATACATGTGATTTTCTTTTCTGTTCATTTCTTATTATTTTCAAGTTCCTCTTCCAATTTAATAAAGGATACGAATTTTTTTTCAACTTGGAATTAGCATTGCAATATACATAACTTTCGTTTTAGTAACTTGTGTTGATATCTTAAGACTTAAGAAACGTTATATATAACTGCAGTAAGTTTTTATGTCACCAATAGCACCCTTAAGAGTTAACAGAAAATCTTCTCAAATAATGAATAAAATTTTTTAAATTTGCACCAAAATCCAAAATCGCTCAAAATAATTAAATCATGTTTCTATGAGATGAGATCTCTCAGTTTTGTTGTATATTCACTCCCCTTAGTTTTATTGAACCATCAATGTATCAGGAACAATTCTTGGGTTCATTCACCCCCTCTTAATTATCCAATTAGAATTTGCTATGTCATCTAGTTAAAAAAATTAAAACAATTAATATTTCCTAAATAAAACAATAAAATTAAGTCATAACCACTCTTTTATAAACCCAAACCGATATATAATCTCGTTTAATTACAAAATCTAAACTCTAATTCTCCTTTGTAAACCCAAACCGTCATTTAAACTCGTTTAATCGTAAAAATCTAAACCCTAATCGTATTTTCTAAACCCAAACCGATATTTAACCTCGTTTAATTGTAAAATCTAAACTCGTTTATAAACCCAAACCGATATATAATTTCGTTTAATTACAAAATCTAAACCCTAATTCTCCTTTGTAAACCCAAACCGTCATTTAAACTCGTTTAATAAAAATCTAAACCCTAATTCTCCTTTGTAAACCCAAACCGTCATTTAAACCGTCGTTTAATTGTAAAATCTAAACTCGTTTGTAAATCCAAACCGATAGTTAACCTCGTTTAATCATAAAATCTAAACCCTAACCTTTCTAATAAACGTAAACCGATACATAATTTCGTTTTAGTAGTAAATTAAATTTTATAATTAAATAAATTTTTTATTATTATTAGATGGCATATTTTAATTAGATGAAATAAAGAGGGTGAACCTCGAATGTTCACCCCTAGGGGTAAATCCAAGTATTTTCATGTATCAGATGCTATATCATATATGGAAATCATTATTGAGTTTTTGACCAATTAATTATGAGAATTGACTAACTTTCACTATGGAGCAAATCAAGTCCAGTGAATCATTTATTTTTGTAGGTTCATCTTTTATGGCACCGTATTCATTTCTTATTCCATGAATTTGACGGAGTAATTTTGATTTTCTTTTTCGAGTAAGAATCTGGTCAAATATTCGATGAACCTACAAAAAATATTAACCTTTATAAAAATGTAGATTAACTAAGTGTTTCATCACAAACCATTTAAACGTAAACAAACTACTCTTGAATTTACCCTCTCTTGAAGTCTCTATGATGAATTACATGAAGCTCTTGATCATCGCCGTGATCATCTCGGCGGCTTTGTTTCCAGCATTGGTGGTCGGATCTCGTCCGGTAAAATGTAACAATTGCAATGACGGTGGAGAAAAAGAAAAGATCATGAAGATGAATTCAGGTATGGATGTGAACCATAGGATACTTCAAGCTAAGAGATATATAAATTACGATGCATTGAAGAAAAACAAACCAGCTAAACCAGATGGTAAACCGGATAAACCGGACAACAAATACCGACGAGGTTGCACCGCCGCTACGGGATGCTACCGCTTTACGAATTAAACATAAAGCCTATCTCTCTCTCTTTTTCTTCTTTTCTTTGGTTAGTGTGTTTTATTTTATTTTTAATTAGTGGAGTATTTGCAATCACATTTCACATTCACAATTCTCATTATTATTTTAATTGCAATTTGTAAGTCTTCCGAGGCATTAGACTCTGAACCAGGGACATCTCCTAGGGAATTAGAATAAACTTCGTTAAGAATTTGTCTTCCTTTTTTTACCAAATGATTGACGAGTAAAAAAAGATCACATCGTAAAGTATTTTTGCGGGCAAGTTCAAACAAATTGATCACCTCTCTCGGCCTATATTCATTTTTTTTCTCTCTCTCTTAAACCAATCGATATATTTCCAAACCAATCCTCCAAAAAAAAAAAAACCAATGATACACCTATAAAATTTCAACTTTAAATATAATAATATAGTCTTGTTGTAAATATAAAATATACTTTAGAAGTGTACATGCGAAAATTCAGATATGTAATCAACCTATAAGTATAATTAAATCAAGAATAATATAGATTTGAATTACATCGGAGTGGACATGGGATGCATGTAGATTACGGTGACTAGACATTTTCAACTTTTTCACAACTTTAAAAATATCGACACTATCTAATTTAGTCATTTAGATTATTCGAAATACCCATATATACATAATTTTATACAAATACCCCAAAAAGACAATCTATAAAATCATTATCCAACCCAAAGTAATAAAGTTTTGATGACTTTTAAAAATGTTTAGTTTTAAAATTTGAATAGATTTTAGATAATATATAGGAACTACCATCCAATAATTGAAAGGTCAAAGTTCAAACTAGCTTATCCAAATTCAAATTTCGCTGATAAAATACGTTGAAACTATCAAAATACCATTACACCAACATCACCAACTTTTACGAACCCCACATATCGATTATAATTTTCAGAATTTGCTTTTAGGCCCTTCAATTCAAGATTTCGTATTTACATAACCTGATCATATCTTTCTGAAATTTAACCTTTTAGTCCTCTAAATTTCAAGGGTTTGATTTTTGATTATTCTTCTTCAATTACGTTAAATTTCTCTCCTACGCTCTTATTCAACTACTTGTCTCTTTTTCTGTCTCTCACGACTTAGTCCTCGATTCTCTCTACGCGTTTCAGCGTTAAGTCTTCTAGATCTCTAAAGCTTCGTGCGCTCGCCGATATAAATCTCTGAGATCGGTTCCGTAAAATCAAATCGGACTCGCGTCGTTTTTTAAGGAAAAAAAAATGGTGCAACAATCGTTAATCTACAGTTTCGTCGCTCGCGGTACCGTAATCCTCGTCGAGTTCACAGATTTAAAAGGCAATTTCTCATCTGTCGCTGCTCAGTGCCTTGAGAAGCTTCCTTCCTCGAACAACAAGTTTACCTACAACGACGATGGTCATACGTTCAATTACCTCGTCGAAAATGGTTTCAGTGAGTCAAAATATTGCTCGATCAATGCTCCTTGTTTTTTTGCCTAATTGAGCATTTGGATTTTTCTATGACTTATTATGAGTCAGAGTTCTTTTTTTTTTTTGATCAAATGTCTAGTCACCATAATAATTCGCCATGATTTTGGGAAAGTCGACTGATAAAATTAAAAGTGTTATCTATTATTTTATCAAAGTTGTGGGAAAGTTGAATTTTAGGTAACAATAAATCAAGCTACATGCATCCCATGTAGTTAATAATTCGAAGAAAAGTGTTAATAATTTCATAATAATCCGAATGAAATTTTATTAATTAATTATTATCAAAATTAAAACTTAATTCATAATAAAATTAGGTTAAAAATAATAATAAAATGTTATCTATTATCAACGTCAATACATAATTATTCCTAAAAATATACCAAATTAAACATAAGATAATAAATAACACTTTTAATTTTGGACGCTTGATAAATCAAGCTTCATGTTCATTCATATTCAGAATCATTTTGGTTTTTTTTTTTTATAGTATGAATCTGAACCATTGTCCAATTTTTAAAGCAATGTGGGAAATTGTACATATTTTTTTTCATCGATTGAGTAATATATGTCCGTTTTAAAAAATTAAATCACATCATATGCAAAAAAAATTTACTATATGTATTTTATAGAAATTCAAAATAAATTAAATATAAGATCAAATAAAAGTGAAAAAATAATCATATATTTATGTGTAAATTAGGTAAAAATATTTTAAAAAAATTAGTAATTAATTGAGTGTAGTTAAGGAAAGATAAGATTTAAGAGAGAATTAAGGATATAAACCGTTTAGGACAATATTTTCAATTAGATTTTCGGAATGTTTAGAATTTAAGAAAGATGGATTGAAATGTAAATAAGTCACAACCCAAGGATTTTTGACCAAAAAAACCCTATGTAGATTGGGGTTTTGGGTGATGTCGAATTTGATGGTGGATATGGACTCTTTATTATAGTGTTAATATTCTTATGAGGGATATATTTCTGAATCTACTGCTTTACCTCTCAATATGAAGTTAAAAAAAAATGACGCGCGGGTTTTGTTCTCGTTTGTGCAGCATATTGTGTTGTTGCAGTTGAATCTGCTGAGAGGGAGATTCCTATGGCTTTCTTGGAACGAGTTAAGGAGGATTTTAACAAGAGATATGGTGGTGGAAAGGCTGCAACTGCTCAAGCAAACAGCTTGAATAGAGAATTTGGGTACTTATTTTTTGATCTATATGATTGGCATTGAGAAGTTTGTATTATTTATGTTCATGGTCAATGACAAGACTCTTTTTTGGCTGCTCTAAAGGTCGAAACTGAAAGAGCACATGCAGTATTGCATGGATCATCCTGATGAGATTAGCAACCTTGCTAAGGTTAAAGCTCAAGTGTCTGAAGTTAAAAGTGCAATGATGGAAAACATTGAGAAGGTTCGATTGTGACCCTTTTTCGTATGAATTACGTATCATGATCTTTTGGTTCCTTTAATTTTTGAGGGGAATGTCTAGCACAGGCATCCGTTTTTACATTGTGGAACGCATTCATTTTCAGGTTCTTGACCGTGGTGTGAAATGTGATTTTCTGGTGGACAAAACCGAAAACCTCCGTACAGAGGTAAGTTCTCTTAGGAAAATGGTTCTAAGTTCCATACACACATACATGCTTGAGTTGCCAGCTCTCTCTTACTACTGTTGTCTTGGGTTTCCAACCTTTAAATGAACTTGGAATTGTCACAGGCGCAAGATTTCAGAACACAAGGAACTCAAATGAGAAGGAAGATGTGGTTCAAGAACATGAAGATAAAACTCATTGTCGTTGCAATCATCATTGCCTTGATTCTCATCATCATCCTCTCGGTTTGTGGGGGATTCAACTGCGGTAAATAAGTCTAGAACATTTCTTCCCGGCGTTATCGACTGCGCTCTGTGTTTCCCAAGATTTCTGAGAATATCTTCATTCAATTCCTTGTGCTACTTTCTTTATGTGGTTTTCATGCTATGTTTCTTCTTAGATTTTACTTCTTGAAATTGGTTTTGTATAGGCCATATATATTATCAGCTATATTGTATATAACTTTCGTTATACTAGTAACTTGTTAGACCATGTACATAGCAGAACTTTTAAGAGTATCAGAAGCCCATTTATTATTTTTAAATAGACCAAACATGTTTTATGGGTCTGATCCGTATCAGCCCAGTGAAACTCATGATACTGGGTATCATGTGACGTGGCAGGGCCTAGGAAGCACGGAATCTTCGTCGGAGGTCCGCTTCCCGCTTCGGAATCTTAGTCGGAATCGGAAGCTCTTAGAAGCTTTCGGAATCTCGCTTCCATCGCGTTTCCAAAAATTCAACTTTGGAAGCTCGTTGGAAGCTTACGATTCCGGTTTGGAAGCTTGCGCTTCCATTTTATAAATTCAATTTTACAAATAAAACATGAAATTATTATTATTTTTTTTTTTTTTCCGTCAAAGCATACTTATATTAAATTAGAAAAGTCAATACAAAGTTGGTTTTGGAGCCAACATGGCTGAATTACAGAATTTGAATAAAAAACAGAGGATATAGAAACAAACTTTGCTAGAAGATGGGCTGCCATGTTTCCATCTCTTTTAACAAAAGCAAAACGAATTGATTGAAATTTCTTTTCCCAGAATTCGATATCCTTAAGGAGATTTGTCAATGAGCCGATCTTCTTTGAACCGTTGACTGTTTTGATTAACGTTGCACAATCCCCTTCAAAGATTATGGCCTTATGTCCTCGAATCCATGATTGATGCATTGCTACTAATAATGCTTTTGTCTCGGCTTCTAGTGAAGTTGTTGCATAACCAAGTTGCACTGATCCCCAAGATTTCGGTGTGCCCTGATGATCTCTAATGATCCAGCCTGCTGTCGCTTGATGTGTATGAGTATCAAAACCTGCATCAAAATTACACTTTATGAATGGAGGAGGCGGCTTCTGCCAGGTACGACTGGAAGAAAGAGTATGCGGATGATGACTTGTCGTGGTATCACTCTTCTTTTGACTAGTAGTTGCCGAAATCCAATGCTTTGTTTCAGATTGTACTTTCAAGACTGTTTTGGAAGCACTTTCTCTTCCTTTGTTAAAAACAAAATTGTTCCTGACTTTCCAAATTCGCCAAAGGAACCAATACGGCATGAGCTTTTTGTCGTCATGGGTTGTTTGGTTTGTAAAACTCATTAAATTTGATAAATTTCCTTCAAAATCATGGGTAAAACGGAGATGTTGCTGAGGTAGGTTCGATAGTCGCCAAACCATAGTTGCGAATGGACAAGTAAACAGAGCATGATTGATGCTTTCTTCTTCACGTCGACATCGAGGACAAGTTTTATCGAGGTTCATACCTCTGGATACCAATCTGGTCATGGTAGGTAAGGCTTGCGAGATGGCTCTCCATAAGAAGTGTTTAATTTTTGGCATGATAGGTAATTTCCATACTTTGTTTTTCAGATCCGTTGAACCTGTAGGGATAGGGACATGATCATGAGGTTGAAAAGGATCGTGAGTGAGCATCCAATAACCAGATCGTACGGAATAGTCGCCAGAGTTGTTATAATTCCAAAGTAAGGTGTCGCTGGTTTCTTCCCGTGCAAGGTGAATGTTCAAAAGAGAGGATTGATCTCGTGGGTCCACATATGTGGCGATCTTAGTAGTATCCCATGATCGTGACGTACCAATTTTAGAAATGAGAAATCCTAGCGAAATACCCTTATGAGATTCAACAACCCGAATTGGCCTTGGTGGATGAGCATCAATCACGTTGTCAAAGCCCAAACGGATAGTATCACCATCTCCGACCGTGTATCTAGAACCTTTTTTTAGTAAATCTATTCCTGAGAGAAGGGAAGCCCACCCATAAGATTGATATTTGCGACCTTTGGCTTCCAAGATCGAGCTATCCCGGAAGTAGCGAGCTTTCATAATCTTGGCAAATAAAGAGTGCGGATGCTGAATAATGCGCCAGGCTTGTTTTGCAAGTAAAGCATCGTTAAACTTTGCTAAATCCCGAAAGCCTAGGCCTCCTTCTTTTTTCGAGAATTGTAGACGTTTCCAGGCAATCCATGGAATACCTTTTTGTTTTGGGTTCTTTTCCCACCAGAAATTCATTAAGAGGGATTCAATTTCTGAAATGATCCCTTGTGGTAGCTTGAAACATGACATCGCGTATACAGGCATTGCGAGAGCTACAGATTTTATTAAAATTTCTTTACCTGCCGGGGATAAAAATTTCGCACTCCAAGTGGCTGTTCTTTTCTTGACCCGTTCAATGATATATTCAAACATCTCCTTTTTTTTCCGACCGAATTGTTCAGGTAAGCCTAAATATTTACCACCCCCACCATGATTTTGAATGCACAAAATGTTTTTGAGTCTATGTTGAGTGTTACCATAAATTCGTGAGCCAAAAGTTATCATAGATTTGTCCTTATTGATTTTTTGGCCCGAATAGTATTCATAGACATCAAAAACATCTTTTAAGGCTTGGCAATTCCTTGTGTTTGCTTGGCAAAAAAAGAGGGAGTCATCCGCGAATTGTAAGTGTGTTATCGCCGGTACTCCATTTCCGATTCTTACACCTCGTAGCTCCCCGTCTTGAGCTTTGCTTCGAATTAGGTGACTTAAAATATCACTACATAGGATAAAGAGGTATGGAGACAAAGGGTCACCTTGTCTTATACCTCTAGAAGGTGTGATATTGCCGTGGGGAGTGCCATTAATCAAAACTGAGTATCGAACTGAACGGACTGTTGCCATGATCCAATTGATCCATTTGTCGCAAAAACCAAAAAGCCGCATTGTTGTTTCCAAAAAATTCCATTCGACTCTATCATATGCTTTGCTTACATCCGTTTTCACCGCCATGTAAGTTTGGGAAACTCTTCTCCTAGTCTTCAAAGAATGCATGATTTCATGTGCAATCATTACATTGTCATTTATTAATCTCCCCGGTATAAAAGCAGCTTGTGCATCCGAGACAATTGAATCAAGATGCGTTTTGAGACGTCGAACTAAACATTTGGAGATAATTTTGTAGAGCACGTTACACAAAGCAATGGGTCTATAATCAGAGAGAGTTGTAGGGTTGTCTATTTTTGGTATCATACAAATATTCGTATGGTTAATGTCTTTTTAATCAAACAAACTCAAACTAAAAATTTTGCATACTAATCTTTGTATTTTATTTTTAACAAAATCATGTTTAGAAAATAGCAATGACATGAATCTAATATGTGAGAGATATTATAAATGATTTATTAATTTAGATTAATTTCGAGAGACTTGAGTTTGATCATATTTTTACCTATAATATACATAATTTGAAACGATTTTGTTTGATGTTATTTAAAAAAAGAATGAATATAGTGTTATAATTTTTTTCTTGAATTATTTTGATTTTGTTTGTTGTAAAAATTGGTTTAATTTTTAAATTTAGTTTTTAAAATTTATTTATTAGATTTATGGGGTTAATATAACTTGTAATATGATATAATGTTTAATATATAGTTATATATATACATATATATATATATTCTTTATATATACTATACGCTTCCATCGCGTACCGCTTCCGTAAAATTTTCTAAAAAATCGCTTCAGCGCTTCTAAACGATTCCGTTTCCGCGTATCCGCTCCCGTTTCCATGCAACATAGGGCAGGGCGTGATTGGTCGCTGAAAATTCTTTTGCCAACAGCAGAGAAAAAAAAAACATATACTTTCTCTCAATTTTTTCTCTCCTCCACGGTTCTTTCATCCGAGACAAATATGGAGGGAAGTTGTGTTATAGCTTGAGAAATACAAGGTTGTTTGTTTAGATTCATAGGATTGAATCAAGAAATAGATTTGCTTGATTGGGTTTGATAAGAATTGGTTTATGGCTGCAAAGTTTCTGGTTTTTGCTGAGCGCACACAAGGTGTTTGATAAATTGCCAAAGAGAAAAACGGATTGGGTTTATGCAAATTTTAGTTGGCTGATGGATGAGAATCAAATAGTGAGTATGTGTAATTTCGCTATAGGTTTTTGTTTTGAAAATGAATCTTTTAGACTTGAATGTCCTTACAAGGAACAACTGATGTTCAATTTCTCTTTAATACATAAGGCATGCCTTTAACATTGTTCAATTTCTCTTTAAAAATGCGTTCTCTAAATTGTAATTATTACATTTTCTTATCATTGTATAAAAAGATAAAAAAAAACTTCCTTTGTTAAATTTAGTCTACAAAAGAAAATTTCCATTCCCTTTATCTACGTGAGTATGTGTAAATAAATCTGTTTCCAATGGTGAGACCGGTATCGGTATCATTAATAAAAAAAAATTATTTGTAAAATCAAAAATAAATATATAAAAATATGGGATTACAAAAGATAATATTACAATCTATAAAAACGTAGAATATACTAAATCTCAAACAGTATCATAAAAAATCTCAAATAATAAACAAATATTATAATTAATATTAAAAAAATTGTTAATGACACTCTATGAGTATCAACTATGTGCATGCTCTTATAATTTTCCAAATTTGCTTTTAGGTCCTCCAACTTTAGATTTGGAATTTGCACAAGCTGACGAAATCTTTCTGAAATTTACTCATTTAGTCCCTTAAAATTCAAGGGTTTAATTTTTGATTATTCTTTCTTCAAATACGTTTAAGCTACCCTTTTCTTTTTCACCGTCTTCTCTCTCTTTTCTCTCTTTTCTCTCTCTCACCATTTAGTCCTCGATTCTCTCTACGCGTTTCAGCGTTAAGTCTTCTAGATCTCTAAAGCTTCGTGCGCTCGCCGATATAAATCTCTGATTCGCGTCGTTTTTAAGGAAAAAAAAATGGCGCAACAATCGTTGATCTACAGTTTCGTCGCTCGCGGCACCGTAATCCTTGTCGAGTTCACAGATTTCAAAGGCAATTTCACATCCATCGCTGCTCAGTGCCTTCAGAAGCTTCCTTCTTCTAACAACAAGTTTACCTACAACTGCGATGGTCATACTTTCAATTACCTCGTCGAAAATGGATTCAGTGAGTCAAAATATTGCTCGATCTATGCTCGTGATACGTTTGTGTTTTCGATTTGTCGATTTATCCATTGTTTGATTTAGATTTTTTTACCTAATTGAGAAATTTGAATCGAGTTCTTATGTTTGGTATAGTTTTCAGTAATAATTATGTATTGGGTTTTGATATTTAATTGATGTTAGATCTATAATCAGTGATACGTTTGGTGGATCTGCTAATGAATATTTGCAATTCTGGTTCTGGATCTTGGCTTATTTGCGTGTAGCTTTTGATTTCATGAAGTTTTTGGCTGGATTTTGTTGTTTGGGAAATTTGTGGATATATCGCTTGAGAAAATTGCATTGGTGTATTGTGTTCCTGATGTAGTAGCTCTGTTTTACTAACCCTGATTGGATTTTGGGTGATGTTGATGGTGGATAGTGGACTCCTTATTATAGTGTTAATTTTCTTATGAGCGATATATTGGTGAATCTACTGCTTTATCTCTCAATATGGAGTTAAAAATTGACCGGTTTTGTTCTCGTTTGTGCAGCCTATTGTGTTGTTGCAGTTGATTCTGCTGGGAGACAGATTCCTATGGCTTTCTTGGAACGAGTTAAGGAGGATTTTAACAAGAGATATGGTGGTGGAAAGGCTGCAACTGCTCAAGCTAACAGCTTGAATAAAGAATTTGGGTACGTGTTTTTGATCTCTTTGATTGGTATTGAGAAGTTTGTATTATTCATGGGCACATAGTCATTGACGGACTCTTTTTTGGCTGCTTTAAAGGTCGAAACTGAAAGAGCACATGCAGTATTGTATGGATCATCCTGATGAGATTAGCAAGCTTGCTAAGGTGAAAGCTCAAGTGTCTGAAGTTAAAGGTGTAATGATGGAAAATATTGAGAAGGTTCGATTCTGACTCTTTTTCGTTACTGGTATAATTTTATGTTCTAATCTATTTCCAGTAGAGTTAAGCCTGTATGAGTTTAAGTATCATGATATTTTGATTCCTTAAACTGTAGAGGGTAATGTCCAGTTCTCGCTTGTAAAGGCATGTTATGCTGACTGTTTTCACATTTTGGAACGCACTCGTTTGCAGGTTCTTGATCGTGGTGAGAAAATTGAGCTTCTGGTGGACAAAACTGAAAACCTTCGTTCACAGGTTAGTTCTCTTAGGCAAATGGTTCTAAGTTCAATACACAGACATGCTTGAGTTGCCAGCTCTCTCTTACTACTGTTGAATTGGGTTTCCAACTTTTGATTGAACTCGGAATTGTCACAGGCCCAAGATTTCAGAACACAAGGAACTCAAATGAGAAGGAAGATGTGGTTTCAGAACATGAAGATAAAACTGATTGTTCTTGCAATCATCATTGCCTTGATTCTCATCATCATCCTCTCGGTTTGTGGGGGATTCAACTGCGGTAAATAAGTCTGGAACATTTCTTCCCGGCGTTATCGACTGCGCTCTGTGCTTCCCAAGATCTCGGAGAATATCTTCTTCATTCAGTTCGTTGTGCTGCTTTCTTTTTGTGGTTTCTAAATTCTCATGCTATGTTTCTTCTTAGATTGTACTTCTTGAAATTGGTTTTGTATAGGCCATATATATTATACATATATGTATGAATGTTCGACAATTTGCAACGTTGCTATTGCTGGTACTGACACTAATTCTTGCGAACCAATATTTGGACGCTAACACTTACTAATTGCTTTGGTCTGTTGACGAGGCTCTAGTTGCGAATTGCAGTGATGATGATAGTCTAGCCGGTTAATATTAACACGGGTTTGGTCTGACCGGTTAAGCAGAATCTCCGGTTAGTTCATCAAGGGTTTTAACTTTTAACATTTACAGTTGTCGAAGAAATCATCACCACTCTAAAGACGTTGCTGCAACATCAAGTTGCTCAAACCTTTCTCTTCTGCTTCCCTAATTTCGGAAACAATTCGCCTGTTTTCGATTCCTCTGATGAGAAATTTTTGTGAAATTTTGGAATTTCTTCGAATTGTTAGCCATCATGCTGAAGACGTTTTCGACTCCGGCCGATTTCGCGGTTGTTTTGTCGGAAAATCTCCGACGCCGGTCCGAAGGCTTCTGGACTAGACGTGATTTGGCGTCTAATCGATGGATAGCTGCGACTACATTGTTAAGGAAACAGACGGAGATGAGTAATCAAAACCACCTGTGAATTTTAACCTGCTTTGGTATTGTTTTTGATCCCTCCTATGTGAAATTCAATGGTTATTAAATTAGGGAAATTTGGTAATGTTTCCGAGAGAGAGAGTCTTTTTTTTTGTTTCTTTGATGATTTGATCTCTGTAGTTTGCTCATAATGTCATACACAATCTTTTAACCATTGATAAGCAACCTTCATTGAGATAGAGAGAGGCAAAGCACAAAGAAAGGAGATTTCAGAATTCAAAGATTTCAATTTTAAGTTTTTTTTTCTTATAATAGAAAAGGATCTATTAACCGTTGAAATTCTAAAGCTTTAACATTTCCCTCCTAACACATTCCTCTGTTTTCTTATTTTTCTCTTTTCCTAAATCAGGTTTGTCAAAAAAAAAAAAAAAATGGGTTCAGTTTCTCGCTGAAGAAACCAAACGACCCAAAACAAGAAAATTCCATAATTGTAATGGCTTCAAGTCCACCAAAGAAGACCTTAAATTCACAATCTTCCTCCTTAAGCCGGCCTCCACAAGCTGTCAAGTTTGGTCGCCGGACGTCCAGTGGTCGCATTGTTAGCCTCTCCCGTGACGATGACATGGACGTCTCTGGCGATTACTCCAGCCAAAATGATTACATCAATTACACCGTCCTCATGCCACCAACACCAGACAACCAACCTGCTGGCTCCTCCGGGTCCACCTCGGAGTCGAAAGGTGATGCAAACCGAGGTGGAGGAGGAGGAGACGGGCCTAAGATGGGGAATAAGCTGGAGAGGAGATTATCTGTCATGAAATCGAATAACAAATCAATGTTGTTGAGGAGCCAGACGGGAGATTTTGATCATAACAGGTGGTTGTTTGAGTCTAAAGGAAAATACGGTATTGGAAACGCGTTTTGGTCAGAAGAGGATGATACGTATGATGGTGGCGTTAGCAAGTCCGATTTCTTAGACAAGCCATGGAAACCTCTCACGAGGAAAGTTAAGGTCCCGGCCAAAGTTCTTAGTCCCTACAGGTGACTGTTTGTTTTCACATATAACCCCCTCAACTTTTTTCTCTTCTTCTTTTGATTTCTATTACAGAATATCAAATATCTTACAATTTGGCCCCTTGTTTCAGGTTATTAATCGTGATTCGTCTCGTGATAGTCTTCTTCTTCCTTTGGTGGCGTGTTACGAATCCTAATGAGGATGCAATGTGGCTATGGGGACTGTCGATAGTCTGCGAGATTTGGTTTGCTTTCTCTTGGATTCTTGACATTCTTCCGAAGCTAAACCCTATAAACCGAGCCACGGACCTTGCTGCCTTGCATGACAAATTTGAGCAGCCCTCTCCGTCAAATCCCACTGGTCGCTCTGATCTTCCCGGTGTTGATGTGTTTGTTTCCACGGCTGACCCAGAAAAAGAACCGCCTTTAGTCACTGCAAATACCCTTCTCTCGATCCTTGCCGTGGATTATCCAATTGAGAAGCTTTCTGCCTACATTTCAGACGATGGTGGTGCAATTCTCACCTTTGAAGCCATGGCTGAAGCTGTTCGTTTTGCTGAGGTTTCATTTCCGCTTTCTCTCCCTGCGTATCTTAACTAGTCTATTAGATGATGGCAAAATTCTATATGGTTTTGAATTTTGTTTGCAGTATTGGGTGCCATTTTGCAGAAAACATGATATAGAGCCACGGAACCCGGATAGTTACTTTAACATTAAAAAGGACCCTACAAAAAACAAGAAAAGGCAAGATTTTGTCAAAGATCGTCGTTGGATCAAGCGTGAGTATGACGAATTCAAGGTCAGGATCAATGGTCTTCCAGAACAAATCAAGAAAAGAGCTGAACAATTCAACATGAGAGAAGAGCTCAAGGAGAAGCGAATTGCCCGAGAGAAAAATGGGGGCGTATTGCCGCCAGATGGGGTTGAGGTGGTAAAAGCAACATGGATGGCTGATGGTACGCATTGGCCAGGGACATGGTTTGAACCTAAACCTGATCATTCAAAAGGGGATCACGCCGGAATTCTACAGGTATGAACCATCAACTTCCTTGATTTCAAATAAAACCATGAGAACTTGTCAAACATGCAATAATTTTGTAGATCATGAGCAAAGTGCCTGAGCTTGAACCGGTTATGGGTGGACCGAATGAAGGCGCTCTGGATTTCACAGGAATTGATATCCGCGTACCTATGTTTGCTTATGTCTCGCGTGAGAAACGTCCAGGTTTTGACCACAACAAGAAAGCCGGTGCCATGAATGGTATGGTTAGAGCTTCAGCCATACTATCCAATGGCGCGTTCATCCTGAATCTAGACTGTGATCACTACATCTACAATTCCAAAGCTATCAAGGAAGGAATGTGTTTCATGATGGACCGAGGCGGTGACAGGATCTGTTACATTCAATTTCCACAACGATTCGAAGGAATCGACCCATCTGATCGATATGCAAATCACAATACCGTCTTCTTCGACGGTTAGTTGTTACATTGACTTTCAACCACCAAAAAATTGTAATGCTTATGTCACAAGCCACCATAGCTTATTCATTTTTCGGTTCTGAAACAGGTAACATGAGAGCGCTAGATGGGTTACAAGGTCCTGTCTATGTCGGAACAGGGTGTATGTTCCGAAGGTATGCTCTCTATGGATTCAACCCACCTCGAGCCAATGAGTACTCAGGCGTGTTCGGTCAGGAAAAGGCTCCAGCCATGCATGTCCGGACTCAGTCCCAAGCATCCCAAACGTCCCAAGCGTCTGATTTAGAGTCTGATACACAGCCTCTTAATGATGATCCAGATCTTGGTTTGCCTAAAAAGTTTGGTAATTCGACCATGTTCACAGACACTATTCCGGTTGCAGAGTACCAAGGACGGCCTCTAGCAGATCACATGTCGGTTAAAAACGGAAGACCACCCGGTGCTTTGCTCCTGCCACGGCCTCCCCTTGACGCTCCAACAGTGGCTGAAGCCATAGCTGTCATTTCTTGCTGGTAATGTTTTGAAAAATTAGATATGTTCTGTTAGTATAAACGGTTATGTAGTTAAACCTTTAGAATTTAATTTGGTCTTTCAGGTATGAAGACAATACCGAATGGGGAGATAGAATCGGATGGATTTACGGGTCGGTCACCGAAGACGTAGTGACAGGTTATCGTATGCATAACCGTGGTTGGCGGTCCATTTACTGCATCACAAAACGCGATGCTTTCCGTGGCACAGCTCCAATCAATCTCACTGACCGTCTCCATCAAGTTCTCCGTTGGGCCACAGGCTCTGTAGAAATCTTCTTCTCTAAGAACAACGCCATGTTCGCGACCAGAAGGCTCAAGTTTCTCCAGCGAGTCGCCTACCTCAACGTCGGGATCTACCCTTTTACCTCCATCTTCTTGGTCGTCTATTGCTTCCTCCCTGCTCTCTGTCTCTTCAGCGGAAAATTCATCGTACAGAGCCTCGATATCCACTTTCTCTCCTACCTTCTCTGCATCACCGTAACCCTAACCTTAATCTCACTCCTGGAGGTCAAATGGTCGGGAATCGGACTGGAAGAATGGTGGAGAAATGAACAGTTTTGGTTAATAGGAGGCACAAGCGCTCATCTCGCAGCAGTCGTTCAAGGTTTGCTCAAAGTAATAGCCGGAATCGAAATCTCCTTCACCCTGACATCGAAATCCTCAGGAGAAGACGAAGATGACATCTTTGCGGATCTTTACATAGTAAAATGGACGGGCTTGTTCATCATGCCGCTTACAATCATTGTAGTGAACCTTGTTGCGATAGTGATTGGAGCTTCCAGGACAATATACAGTGTGATTCCGCAATGGGGCAAGTTACTGGGAGGAACATTCTTTAGTTTATGGGTCTTGACTCATATGTATCCGTTTGCTAAAGGATTGATGGGTCGAAGAGGAAAGGTTCCAACGATTGTTTATGTTTGGTCCGGGCTTGTGTCGATTACCGTGTCGCTGCTTTGGATCACCATTAGTCCTCCAGATGATGTTTCAGGCAGTGGAGGATTCTCAGTGTAAATTTGGATCAGAATGTAAAAACTGAGAGGATTTTTCTCTTTTTTTTTTTTAATCTATATTTTTTTTTTGTAAAAGTAATTTTGGTTTATGTAAATTTATGTTGAAACAGACTAATTCTTGCTTTACTTCGTGTTAGCTTTTGAGACTTACCGTTGTTACATGGAACTGAAACAAACAGTTTTTTTCGTTAATCTCGTGGCTCTTATAAACCTCTGCTTCTTACAAAACAGAGGATCGGATTAAGAGAGAACGAAAACAGAGGATTTTTTTAAAAAACTATATTTGACGAAAATACCCTTGTGATCCTGATTGTTTTAACTTTTAACGTTGAAATCTCTAACAGATTTACCCTTCGTGGAACTTGACAAGAAAAAATGGAAATAGTATCGGCCCACGTTGTTTTGTTGCGTGGGAGTGAAGGAAGCTTCCTTTTATTTCCTTTTTTGTTTAGGTCTCTACTCTCTACGCTCTATATAATATCTGAGAACTCTTCTCTCTTTCCATAATTCGATATCCAAATTTGAGAGAGTGAAACCCTAAGTAGATTACGAATGGAAGCTCACGGTTTGTTCAACTCCTCCTGGATGAATACTCTTTCTTCCAGCGGAAGAGACGCTTATACTTGCAACAAAGCTCTTCCCTTGAATCTGAAGAAACCTAATGTTGTTAAAGCAAGTTCGGAGTTGAAGAAGAACGAACATCAGAGATCTCATGATTTTGCGGCAGAGACTAAGAAAAAGACTGAGTTTTTGGTGCCGAAGAAGAACACAGATGAAAGATCTAAGACTCGTGAAGAAACTGGAGAGAAGAAGCAATCGGCTCTACCTATGAAACTTTCTAAAAACCCTAGATTTGGGGTTCATGGAACGGGAGAGATTAAGCAAAATTTGAAGAAACCTGGCCTTTCTAAGTCTGTTCCAGCAACATCAAGGCTACTCAAGTTGAAGAAGCATCAACAGGCGAAAGTATCTGAAGACCCTAAATATTGTCATGTCTTGAAGAAGAACGACACGGAGACTCTAGAACTGTTCGAAATAGCCAAGAAATCAGCTGATGTGGCTAACACAAAGGGTCTTCTCGCGGCTGAAGTAGAGACATCAATCTGCGTAGACACACTCTCTTTACTCATGGAGTTCCCCATAAGCGCAACTGCTATTGAAACAAGACGGATCATGGTGAGGCTTGAGAATCTTACAAAACACAAGAACCGAAAAATCTGCAATTCTGCAGCAGCACTTCTTCAATGTTGGAGGCATAGCATCAGAGATCAAGAACTGAGAGAGTCCCGTAAAACGCAAGGCTAATGTCACAAGAGAATCTTCAAAAAACAAGGGAATGAAATTAGTAGGCTTGTGACTTGACAAAGTTGGTTGCTTATTTTTTTTGATAAATTAGCATTGTAGTCACCACTTCAATTACATTACCCAAAGCTAACAGTGAGAGGAATATGTATTAAGGATTTTCACAATCTCTCTTTGTGTTATTATTCAAGTTAAGTGTGTATATCTTCTGTTTATGCAATCAATGAAATTGGAGTTTGTCCTCTAAATTTGTTTTCAGTTGTAGATTGTAACTAAGTGACAATGAGTCAATACTTGAGAAAGTTTCTCATGTGTATAATTGTTATCCGACATAAGCTGTGGGATTCTCTGCCTTTTCCCACTCCTCTGTTTAATGTTTGTATATGACATCAGGCTTTTCCATGTCCGCCCTGGATCCCATGAAAGTTGGGAAGAGAAGAAACAGATTTGTATATAACTATTGAAAGTTCATCATTCTTACATTATCAAAGTAGTAACTACTTCATTACAAGACCAGCAACAACTTGACAAGCATTCAAAGATTGAAAGCAAAACCGAAACAATCCTAGTGGTTCCTGCATTTATACAAACCAACTATCTTGACAAACCACTCTGGCTTGTATGAAGCGATGACTTGACCTATTGCCAATCCAAGCAACAGCCCAGGCCCACACCCTATTGCCATTGCTTTCCAATTCAACACTTGTTCCTCTTCTTCGTCTTCTTCCTCAGGCAGTTGTGTTGGTGACACATTTCTCCCAAAGCAACTTTCCCCCAAAGGAAAACCACAAAGCCCTGCATTCCCTTCAAAGGAGGATTTAGGTTATCCAGTGATTTGTGTTCCTTGTGGTATTTCACCTTTGAGTTCGTTATGAGCCACACTTATGTAAGCCAAAAACGAGAGGGTCTTGAGTTCATTAGGAATAGTCCCTGAGAGTTGGTTGGTTGTTTGATAGATCAAGTGACTCAAGCTCCGTAACATTTGCCAAAGACAGAGGAATATGACCTGTGAAAGCGTTGTTGGATAAGTTGAGTGCAATCAATGCCTTCAAAAGACCAATGGATTCAGGAATCTGTCCTTCAAGTTTATTCCCAGAAAAATCAATGGTGGCGTAGGAAGTAAGGACCTTTCCTTGCTCCATGAAAAGACCTTTGTATTGCAAATCCACAGTATCTTCATATATATAGTAAGGATTGTTGTAGTCACCCATATAGATTCTCCCATCTTCATTCATGTGGAGTGATGATGCTTCCCAATTCACAAAGTAATTTGGTGGCAAGCTTCCTATAAGGTTGTTATCTGCTATTTCAAGTATGCGCAGCTTGGGAAACGCAAGAGGACCTCGATCAGGAGGAGATATAGGGCCATGGAATTTGTTTGAACGGAGGGTAAGAGCTTGTAAATCAGGTAAAGCCTTAAGCCAGAAAGGAAATGTGTCTTTGATTCTGTTGTGGTCTACGCTTACAAACCTTAGCATAGAGCAATTCAGAAGAGACCTTGGAAGCTTCCCGGTTAGTTGATTGTAGCCAACGTCAAGTGTCCGAAGCAAGGCACCATCAGAGAATATATCTGGAAGACTTCCTTCCAAGTTGTTCTTCCGGAGGTTCACTACAATGAGAGACTCTTGGAAATTACTCAAACAACGAGGAATTGGACCAGTTAAGTTGTTGTAGGATAGGTCAAGAACAGCAAGAGAGCTTCGGTTGCAGGTTTCAAGAGGTATGTTTCCTGTGAAACTATTGTTCCATGCAGATAAGAGGTTGATAGAGAGTGGTGGTTTTGGAAATGGTCCTCTAAAATGGTTATAACCCAAATCTAAAAACCTCACCGATGAATTCAGTAAAACTTCTCCCGAACCTTCTAAATCAGTGAACAAATTGTTTAAAAGATTCACTCTGCCCAGACGAGGAAGGTTCCACAACCACTCAGGGACTTTCCCTTTTATTTTATTGTTGGAAAGGTCTATATACTCCAATTTCTTAAGGTTCTTTAAGAAGGTTGGGAACTGATTAATGCCACAACCGGACAAGTCCAGTTTTTTCAAGTTCAATGGGATGTCTAAATCTGAATGTATACTAGTTTCCAATAAACTATTACCGGAAATATCAAGTATCAACAAAGATTTGAGAGTGAACAAGAGCCTTAAGTCAATTGGGTAGCTTATGTTTAGAAAAGAAATGTCTAGATATTTGAGAGTGATGAGCTTTGAGATAGGCTCTAGAATCTGTCCTTCAAATTGGTTATTCCCAATGTATAGATGTTCGAGCCTAGATGAAGAGGAGTTGGGAACTTCAATAGGACCAGTGAGAAAATTTCTACTGAGATCAAGATTTGACAAGAAAGGCATGGTGAGCAGAGAAGGGATGGTTCCAGAAAAGTGATTATAGGAAAGGTTCAAAAAGAAAAGCTTGGTGAGATTTTGGACAAGGTGGAAACTACCAGTGAGCTTGTTATGTGAGAGATCCAACTGGTTTAACCAGGTTAGGTTACTAAATGAGGAAGGAATTTGGCCGATGAAGCCGTTAGAGGAAAGAGACAAGAACTCTAATCTGTTGAGACTGCCGAAACGAGAAGAGAGTGAAGAAGCGGAAGTGAAGTTGTTGTAAGCGAGATCAAGGTAACGGAGGTGGTGCAACTCAAAGAGGCTACTGTTAGGACTCAGTGTCCCAGAGAAGTGTGATTATCAGAAAGCGATAAAATGGATAGCTCGGTTAGGTTTTGCACAAGTGGGAAACTACCAGTGAGCTGGTTGTGGGAAAGGTCTAACAAGTAAAGCCGACTTAGATTACTAAGTGAAGAAGGAACTTGGCCGATGAAGCCGTTAGAGGAAAGAGATAAGACCTCTAATCTGTTGAGAATACCAAACTCGGAAGGAAGTGAAGAGGAGATGAAGTTGTTGTTTGAGAGATTAAGGTGACGGAGCTGATGCAACCCGAAGAGGCTACTGTTGGGCTTGAGAATGCCACTGAGACAGCCATTTGGTAGTTGTAGCTTGGTGACAGCACCCGTCGTGTTATCGCACCGGACTCCATTGAAGTAGTCAGTTTAATTGCAACTGCGGGAATCAAACTCGTTCTTAAAATGCATAATCTGGTCGGGACGACAGCCAAGAGCATTGATCATTAAGAAGCTCGAAGCTAAGTGTAAGAATATAGAGAGAACCCGCAAAAGCAGAGATGATGGGAACATGGTTGTGATTCAAAAGTTTGATGAAATTATTAAACCAAAAAGAGATGTATAAAAAGATTTGATAATCTGTTCTTAGATCCTCCATTGCTTATAAACTGTAATTAAAACAACAACAACAACAACAACAAAAAGATAGTTTGGTGAAACTTTAATTTCTCTTTGAATTTTTTTTGTACTATTACAATGACATGGCATTAAATTTTGTTTGTGGGTTGGAGAAGATTTGATTAAATAGCTGGTAATCTTTAATGCCTTACGGATAAGATCTGGTGTTTGTTAGTAGATTTGAGAAGACTTACGTCAAAATTAAAAAACAGAGACATCTGTTTGCGTTACCAGTTTCCCTATCAGTTGAGCACTAAAAAATCAATATAAACGATATAGTTAAGAACACCAACTCAAGATCAATTAGTTTTGACAAAATCATGAAATGAAAATTATGAAATCAATCTATTGAGATGGATTTTAGTAACTCGGATTGATATTTTAATTAGGGTTTAATTAGCATGTCTGAAGTTTTGCATATTCTGCTAAGTGTTTGATATATGATTCTTTATTACAAAAAACATGAACTACCTGATAGACATCTAAGACCAAATACGTCGACGTGTACACATTATTCTTAATTCTTATCGGCAACAATTAGCATTATATACCCATGGAGTCATCATCAATTCATCATTCATATATATCGGCAACACTTGATATTTTGATATGCCTCGCGTCTCTACATGAGTGATAAAGGGGCCAGTTGCCACAGTTTCCAGATTTTATGTTTGAATACTAATTTTATTTGTTTGGGACATTTATTAGTGATTTTTTTATTCCATATGGAAAATAAAATTATATTGTGCGTTTTTTCTTACAAATTTTCCTCTCTATTTAATATGATTTTCTTTCAAAATATATTGGTTCCAGTTATAAAAATATGCTTTATGCATTTTTAAAATGATAATTTTAACTAATTGATTATAATATATAGAACTTTATAATTTAATTACATTATTTTCTATTGTTTTCCCTGGGCCAAAACAACATGACAAATCTGAAACGGTGACCGTGTATCTTCCATGGGTCAATAAATACCCATGCAATTTTTCCAAAAGGATCATGTAAGTATGTAACAATCGTTAGTTTCTTCTCAGCCTCAGGTCAGCTCTCCCCACATATCTCTCCCTCTTTCTTATATGATTGTAGTTTGTATAAGATTTGATTATATTCGTAGTAACAGGCAATATTGGTAAGATTTGATCACTCGCAAGCAAAAGAGATGGCACAAAAGGTGGAAGCAAAGGGTGGTGAGATAGGAGATGTATGGGATGATGGTTCTTACGACGGTGTTAGAAAAGTATACGTAGGGCAAGGCGAAGATGGTATCGCCTTCGTCAAGTTTGAGTATGTCAATGGTTCTCAAGTGGTTGTTGGCGATGAACGTGGGAAGAAGACTTTGCTAGGAGCTGAGGAGGTACTAATATAGATATATTTATGCATGTTGAGATTGTTAATTTATTGGTTTTCTCATTGAGAATTCTCTTTGTAGTTTGAGGTTGATGCAGATGACTACATAGTATACGTGGAAGGTTATCATGAGAAAGTTTTTGGGGTCTCAACAAAAGAGATCATCTCAACTCTTACGTTCAAGACTTATAAAGGCAAAACTTCTCCGCCGTTTGGAATTGTCTCCGGGACCAAGTTTGTCCTCCAAGGTGGCAAAATCGTTGGGTTTCACGGACGTTCCACTGATGTTTTGCACTCACTTGGAGCCTATATTTCTTTGCCGTCCACTCCAAAATTGCGTGGAAAGTGGATAAAGGTATTAGTAGTATCTTAGACCAACATAAAAAATGATTTTTAACCCATACAACACAATTAAGGTTTTTGATTGATAAAGTCAATAAAAATGGAAAAAAAAAAATCATAATAAGAGAAAACAAAACACTTGTCTTTATTGGAAATCCATATATATTAATGACGGTTTTACTTTTAAAATTTTCACTAATCTGCAAGAATCGCAGAATAATTCCACTATTATGCATGCATGTTACTAATCAGAATCCAAATCTCTAACTAACAAATATGATTTATTTATAAGGTGGAGCAAAAAGGAGAGGGTCCAGGGCCAAGATGCTCACATGACATAGCACAAGTAGGAAACAAGATTTACTCCTTTGGTGGTGAGCTCACACCAAATCAGCCCATCGACAAACACCTTTATGTCTTCGACCTCGAGACCCGGACTTGGTCCATTTCTCCAGCCACCGGAGACGTTCCAAACCTCTCTTGCTTAGGCGTCCGTATGGTGTCAATTGGATCAAGCCTCTATGTCTTTGGAGGCCGAGACGCTTCACGAAAATACAACGGCTTCTACTCGTTTGATACGATCAAGAACGAGTGGAAACTGCTAACTCCGGTCGAACAAGGACCCACTCCTCGTAGCTTCCACTCGATGGCAGCCGATGAGAAAAACGTTTACGTTTTCGGTGGAGTGAGCGCTACGGTTCGGCTCAAGACACTAGACGCTTACAACATCGTTGATCACAAGTGGGTTCAGTGTTCGACCCCGGGAGGTTCCTTTAGCATAAGAGGAGGAGCCGGGCTCGAAGTGGTACAAGGGAAGGTATGGGTTGTGTATGGATTCAACGGATGTGAAGTTGATGATGTTCATTGCTACGATCCTGTTCAAGACAAGTGGACACAAGTGGAAACGTTCGGTGAGAAGCCTTGTGCGAGGAGTGTGTTCGCTAGTGCGGTTGTTGGGAAATACCTTTTGATCTTTGGAGGTGAGATAGCGATGGACCCAAAAGCTCACGAGGGTCCGGGTCAATTGAGTGGTGGGACTTTTGCGTTTGATACAGAGACGTTGAAGTGGGAGAAGCTGGATAAGTTTGGTGAAGAGGAAGAGACTCCAAGTATCAGAGGATGGTCTGCGTCCACGACTGGGACCATTGATGGTAAGAAAGGACTGGTGATGCTTGGTGGGAAAGCTCAAACTAATGATCGGTTTGGTGATCTCTTCTTTTATGGAGTTGACTCTGCATAGACGCTGTTCGTAGATGATGCGTGTTTGTCAATATGTGTGTGTGTGTGATGCAATAAGGGAGGGTCTTTATCATCTTTTCAGTGATACCAAATAAAATAAAACAAGGGAGGGCCGTGAATATGTGATACCATATGATCCTTCATCAGCTTGTCCGTTTTTTTTTTGTTTTTTTTTTCTGTATGTTTGGTTCATGTTTGATGTTTCGTGTGTTTATTAATAAATTGCTTATTTTCTCCAAAGAAATCGTCAGATGAAATAAGTCATAGCTTATAATTAATTGAACAACGATGAATGTGTTGGAAATTTTGAAAAAACAGGTTTACAATTAGACTCATCATTGATGTGCCTTTAATCAAGTGGTTAAGTCCATTTGACTCCGCCTTCCCACCGGAGTTCGATTCCATTAAGTCGCGTTACCCGGCGTAGTAGGGATGGGTTATGAATCACACCTTGTCATCCAAATATATGTCAAAAAATTAGACCCATCATTAAACTAAACCAGCAGTAAGTAAACCAGTTTAGACCAAGACTGCATTTCGATTTATATTAAACCGGTATGCATAGTTTAAACAAGTCGAGAAAGAGATTTTGACTTGACAACGGCGGAGCCATTGCGATCACCGTCACTCTCGTCGAAGTTTTGGTGGAGGAATCCGAAATCAAGGAGCTTCAGGTGATTTCATTTTCGCATATTTTCTCGTGATTTCACGAGCAAGAATAATTGCTCTTTCTTTTTTTTGGGGTTTGCTAATTAATTCTCCTTGTTTTATTCAAACGCTGCTTTAGTTAAGAACACCAAAAAAAATCTCAAGGGTCAAATTAGTTTTGACCGAGTCATGAAACGAAATCAATTTAGTGAGCTTGATTCTAGGGTTTAGGGGTTAATGTGGCCGTAACATAAAATAAACGGCATTAATTTGGTAGTCTTAGTGCTTTATAATGAAGAACTTGGTTTGTAACCTTTTAACCAATCCATGAGATTGGAGTTTGATCTGTAAGGATTAGTTTCAGTTATAATTGATAGAGTTCTCATGATATTTCATTGTGTAGAGGTTTTTAGCCTCTCAAAGGCTCAAGCTTTATCTCATTTGTCATCAACACCATATTACGGAAACAAATCAAGTAAAGTATCGAGAAGAGGAGGAAGATAAAATAGAGCAAGATGAAGGAAGAAGAGGAGCACACAAAGGATTTGTTAACCCGGTTCACGGCATTAACGAGCCGCTACGTCCGGTTAGGATCGATAGATCCACAACTTCACTATGAAGAAGAAGGTATTACAAACAAGAAGCAACAAGTGACCCGTCTAATACCCTTCACTAGTACTTAGACTCACTCTGTACCACTTCCTGTATAACTCAGAGAACAACAATGACAAGCTTATACTAATACATGTTTTCTCTCATCTCTATACCTTACTAACTCTTCTTCTTAGATCTACATTGTGCTATTGCTCTCTCTCTCTACTCCCTTCTCCCTTAGCTTCTCTCAATGAAGATAAGCACCTATATATAGAGACAGCTAACTAGGGCTTCCTTGTGCTAAAACAAACCGCAACCCTTTTGAGAACAAACTGACAAAACGGAGAGGCTCCCCTTTGTGGTCCCAAAAGTATCCCAACCCAACTTTAACTTGACTAGAGTTAAGCCTTGAGTTGCTTTTGATCTTCATTTGCTTGAGAAACAAGTTCTCATCTCCACACATTGTTATCTGAGAAAATTAGTTAAAACTGTTAAGCAGATTATTGTAAATTTGTATTTGGTAAGTCCTATAATGATACAATTTTTTTTCTTATTCACATTAAACTGATTAGTATCAGTGGTGGGTGGTGCCATTTGCACTGGAATGAGGGATCTCATGAATGTATGGTCTGAGATTGAATTCTGGAGACTCTCTTACTCTGACTCTCTTATGTTTATTTGATCCAGTTTGTCTTCACAGGATGCTGGAAGATGACGTCGTGCGTTATAAAGAAATTTCAGCTCGAGTTAGTTCAAGAATTAGAGAAGAACCAAAACAGTATATCATAAGCCTCTTTCTCAACCAATATATCAAGACATACATCAGGACATTATCAGCCAAACAGAGATCTTATTTAAGGGAACCAAAAGTTACAGAAACTAACTAGTAAAACCTCTTTCTTACATCAGGTAACAATATATCCACATACTACATTTACATATCACTTTTTTGTTCTACGTTATTTTTATTATTAAAACTATCCCATCTTGAATCCAAAGTCATAAACAATCTAACTGGATTGACTTCCTTGCGCTTCTCCGACCACTTCGGCTTGTATGAAGCAATAACGTGTGCTATTACCAACCCGAACAGCAGTCCAGGCCCATACCCTATAAGCATTGCTTTCCAGTTTAACACTTGTTCCTCTTCTTCGTCTTCTTCCTTAGGCTGTTGTGTTGGTGGCGCATTACTCCCAAAGCAAGTCTCCTCCAAAGGAAGACCACAAAGCCCTGCATTCCCTTCAAAGGAGGATTTAGATTGCCCAGTGATTTGTGTCCCTTGTGGTATTTCACCTGTGAGTTGGTTGTGGGCCACACTTATGTACGCCAAAAACGAGAGGCTCCCGAGTCCTTTAGGAATATTCCCGGACAGTTGGTTTCTTGAGAGGTCTAGTGACTCCAGCTCTGTCACGTTTGCCAAAGATGGAGGAATATGGCCTGTGAATGCGTTGTTTGATAAGTTGAGTGCAATCAATGCCTTCAAATGACCAATGGATTCGGGAATCTGTCCTTCAAGTTTGTTCCCAGAAAAATCAATGGTGGCATAGGAAGTAAGGACCTTTCCTTGCTCCATGAATAGACCTTTGTATTGCAAATCCACTGTATCTTCATATATATAGTAAGGATTGTTGTAGTCACCCATATAGATTCTCCCATCTTCATTCATGTGGAGTGATGATGCTTCCCAATTCACAAAGTAATTTGGTGGCAAGCTTCCTATAAGGTTGTTATCTGCTATTTCAAGTATGCGCAGCTTGGGAAACGCAAGAGGACCTCGATCAGGAGGAGATATAGGGCCATGGAATTTGTTTGAACGGAGGGTAAGAGCTTGTAAATCAGGTAAAGCCTTAAGCCAGAAAGGAAATGTGTCTTTGATTCTGTTGTGGTCTACGCTTACAAACCTTAGCATAGAGCAATTCAGAAGAGACCTTGGAAGCTTCCCGGTTAGTTGATTGTAGCCAACGTCAAGTGTCCGAAGCAAGGCACCATCAGAGAATATATCTGGAAGACTTCCTTCCAAGTTGTTCTTCCGGAGGTTCACTACAATGAGAGACTCTTGGAAATTACTCAAACAACGAGGAATTGGACCAGTTAAGTTGTTGTAGGATAGGTCAAGAACAGCAAGAGAGCTTCGGTTGCAGGTTTCAAGAGGTATGTTTCCTGTGAAACTATTGTTCCATGCAGATAAGAGGTTGATAGAGAGTGGTGGTTTTGGAAATGGTCCTCTAAAATGGTTATAACCCAAATCTAAAAACCTCACCGATGAATTCAGTAAAACTTCTCCCGAACCTTCTAAATCAGTGAACAAATTGTTTAAAAGATTCACTCTGCCCAGACGAGGAAGGTTCCACAACCACTCAGGGACTTTCCCTTTTATTTTATTGTTGGAAAGGTCTATATACTCCAATTTCTTAAGGTTCTTTAAGATGGTTGGGAACTCAATGAGACCACAACTCAACAAGACCAAATCCTCCAAGTTCAGTGGGATCTTGGAATCTGAACTTATACTAGTAGCCAATAAACTGTTACCGGAAAGAACAAGCCTCACCAAAGATTTGAGAGAGGAGAAGAGGTTTAAGTCAATTGGGTAGCTTGTGTTTAGGAAAGAAATGTCGAGCTCCTTGAGGTTGATGAGCTTTGAGATAGGCTCTAGGATCTGTCCTTCAAAATGGTTATTCCCAAGGTACATGAACTCGAGCCTAGATGAGGTAGAGGAGTTAGGAACTTCAATAGAACCAGTGAGATAGTTTTCACGCAGATGAAGAGATGATAAGAAAGGCAAAGTGAGGAGAGAAGAAGGGATGGCTCCAGAGAAGTGATTATAGGAAAGCTCTAAAATCGAGAGCTTTGTTAGATTTTGTACAAATGGGAAACTACCCGTGAGCTCATTATGGGAAAGGTCTAAAATGTAAAGCTGGCTAAGGTTACTAAATGAGGAAGGAACTTGACCTAGAAAGCCATTAGAGGAAAGATACAAGACCTGTAATTTGTTGAGATTTCCAAATCCAGAAGGGAGCGAAGCAGAAGTGAAGTTGTTATTTGAGAGATTAAGGTAACGAAGATGCTGCAAGCTGAAGAGGCTACTGTTGGGCTTTAAGGTTCCACGAAGGCAGCCACTTGGGAGTTGTAGCTTTGTGACCACACCAGTTGTGTTATCGCACCCTACTCCATTGAAGTAGTCAGTTTGGTTGCAATCTCTGGAATCAAACTCGTTCTTGAATTGCGTTATGGCTTGAATCTGGTCGGGACGACAACCATCAAGTCCAACAACAAGAGTGAAGCTTGCAGCAAAGATAGAAAACAGTAAGAGCACCGACATTATGGTCTTCATGAAAACTTTTATGAAGAATAACAATATTTAAGCAAAGTGCTGGAGAAGATTGGTTTAAATAGACATAGGATGTGTGTTCTTTTTTTTTTTTTTTTTGCATTGGATAAAATTTCTGATATAAGATTTTTACTTATTTAAAAATAGAAATAGAAAATAGCAGCCATATACACTTCTTTTAAGATGAAGACATTATATTCTCTTTGAATTTTCTTGTGCAAATAAGTGATATAGTTGTTGAAACTTTATATTCTCATTAAACTTTCTTGGGCTATTATATTTTAAGAATTTGTGACCTTTTACAATGAAATGGCATTAAATTTTGTTTGTTGGTTGGTTGGTTGGAGAAGACTTGGTTAAAGAGTTTGTAACCTTTAATGTCTTAAGGATAAGATTTGGTATTGATTTGTTTGTGAATTGGAGAAGAAGACGTTGTCAAACTTTGAAAACTTAGACATCTCTTTGCGTTATAAGTTTCTCTATCAGTCAATCTCAAGAACTGTTAAAAGAAAATAAAAAGAAAAACTGATTAATGCTTGAGAGCTTGTGAATTAGTGGAAAAATAATCAATTTTGGAAAGAGAGTAGATCTCTTTGGTGTTTGTTTGTAGTAAAAAGAAGCTGAACCAGCAGCACTAATTTTTTAAAATGCTAAACCAGCAGTAAGTAAACCAATTTAGACAAAACCGGTAATAATAATTTAATTAACCAGATTGTTAGTATTTCCTGTAAAGTCTACTTTAGTAACAAACAAATCGAGAAGGAGATTTTATGATGCGACGACGGCGGAGCTATTGCGATCACCGTCACTCTCGTCGACGTTTTGGTAGAGGCTTCCTAAATCAAGTAGTTCCAGGTGATCTCATTTGTTGTACTCTTTTTTTTTTTTTTTTTTTTCTCTCGTGATTTGATAAGCAAGAATAATCGAATCATGAAATGAAATCAATTTAGTGAATTTGATTCTAGGGTTTTAGCTACTCTGGATTGATATGTTGTGCATACTCTGTTATCTGAGAATGTTAGTTCAAAGTGTAACAAGATTGTTATATTTGGTAAGTCCTCTCATGATATAAACTGATTTGTATCAATTGTGAGTGGTAGCATTTACATTTTAAAAAAGAGATTCTCGTGAATGTCTGTTCTGAGATTGAATTCTTGAGACTTGTATGATCTTACAGGCTCGGACTGTCTTATGTTCATTTCATCCAGTTTGTCTTAATAGGAAGCTGAAACAACGGTTTTCGTGCATTAAGAAACATCGGCTCGGGTTAATTCAAGAATCAGAGAAGAACCAATGCCTTATGTCATAAGCCTCTACCTCAACAATCTACCAAGAGATACATCAGGATATTATCAGCCAAAAGAGAGATCTTAATTTAGGGAACCAAAAGTTACAGAAACTAGTCAACTTCTTTCTTACATCAGGTAACAACATATCCACATTCTATATTTTCGTATCACTTTCTTCTTCTACATTATCCTTATTATTAAAACTGTCCCATCTTGAATCCAGAGTCATAAACAATCTAACTGGATCTACTTGCTTGCCCTTATCTGGACCAACTATCTTGACATACCACTTCGGCTTGAATGAAGCAATGACGTGTGCCATTACCAATCCAAGTAACAGTCCAGGCCAATACCCGATAACCACTGCTTTCCAGTTTAACACTTCGTCCTCTTCTTCTTCTTCGTCTTCTTCCTTTGAATAGAGTGTTGGTGGCGCAAAGCAATTTCCCTGGAGAGGAAGACCACATAGACCTACATTCCCTTCAAATGATGATTCAGCTTGCCCACTAAACTGTGGTCCTTGTGGTATTTCACCTTTGAGTTGATTATGAGCCACACTTACATACGCCAAAAACGAAAGGCTTCCGAGTTCTCTAGGAATATTCCCTGATAGTTGGTTTCTTGACAGGTCTAGTGACTCAAGCTCCGTAACATTTGCCAAAGACATAGGAATATGGCCAGTAAAGGCGTTGTTTGATAAGTTGAGCGCAATCAATTCCTTCAACAGACCAATGGACTCAGGAATCTGTCCTTCAAGTTTGTTTCCAGAGAAATCAATGGTGCTGTAGGAAGTAAGGACTTTCCCCTGCTCCATGAATAGACCTTTGTATTGCAAATCCAAAGTGTCTTCATAGATATAATAAGCATTTTTGTAGTCTCCCATATACATACGCCCATCTTCATTTATCTTGACTGATGATGCTTTCCAGTTAACAAAGAAACTTGGTGGCAAGCTTCCGGTAAAGCTGTTATCCGACAATTCAAGTATCCGCAGCTCAGGAAATGCGAGAGGACCTCGATCAGGAGGAGAGAGATGGCCGAAGAATCTGTTTGAACGGAGAGTAAAGACATGCAAATTGGGTAGCGCCTTCAGCCAGAAAGGAAACGTGTCTTCAATTCTGTTGTTGTCAACACTCAGAAACTTCAGAAAGGAGCAATTTAAAAGTGATTTTGGAATCTTCCCGGTTAGTCGATTGTAACCAACGTCAAGCGTCTGTGTCAAAGCACCTCTATAGAACTTGTCAGGTATACTTCCTTCCAAGCTGTTCTTCCTCAGATTCACTACTTTTAAGTTACTTAGACATTGAGGAATTGGACCGGTGAAGTTGTTGTAGGATAGATCAAGGACGACGAGAGAGCTTCGGTTGCAGATTGAGAGAGGTATGTTCCCTGTGAAACTATTGTTCCACGCAGACAAGTAGATGGAATTGAGTGGTGGAATAGGAAACGCTCCTGTCATAGAGTTATAGGCAAAATCTAGTAACTGCACTGATGAGTTAAGTAACACTTCTGAAGAACCTTCGAAACCGGTAAAAGAATTGTTAACAAGATTCGCTATGCTAAGACGAGGAAGCTTCCAAAACCACTCAGGTACTTTCCCTTTGATTAGATTGTTGGAAATGTCTATATGCTCTAAGTTTTGAAGGGTCTTTAAGATGTTTGGAAACTCGATCATGTCGCACTGCACCAAAATCAGGCTTACTAAGCTCAATAGAATCTCTGAATCTGAACTTAAACTGGCTGGTAATAACCTATTTTTACGAATATCAAAGACCAACAAAGATTTGAGAGGAGAGAAGACCCGTAAGTCAATTGGGTAACTTATGTTTAGGGAAGCAAGTTCAAGATAGTTGAGGTTGATGAGCTTGGAGATAGGCTCTAGGATTTGTCCTTCGAATTGGTTATACCCAAGGGACAAACGCACTAGCTTAGATGAAGAAGAAGAGTTGGGAACATCAATAGAACCAGTAAGATGATTCTTTTTCAAATCAAGATAAGACAAGAAAGGCAAAGTGGGTAGTAAATCAGAAGGTACGGCTCCTGAGAACTGATTGTAAGAAAGGTCTAGAAACGAAAGCTTTGTTAGGTTTCTTACAAGTGGGAAACTACCAGTGAGCTCATTATGGGAAAGGTTTAAGTGTGTAAGCAAGATAAGGTTACTAATTGAGGAAGGAAATTGACCAGTAAAGCTACTAGAGGCAAGAGACAAAACCTCTAATCTGTTGAGATTGCTGAATTCAGAAGGGAGTGAGGAGGAAGTGAAGTTGTTGTGAGAGAGATTAAGGTAACGAAGCTGATGCAACTCGAAGAGGCTACTATTTGGTTTGAGAGGTCCAGTGAAGCAACCACTTGGGAGCTGAAGCTTCGTGACCGCACCAGTCGCGTTATCACACTGGACTCCGTTTAAGTAGTCACTGCGGTTGCAACCGTCAGATTCAAACTCGTTCTTGAATTGCATTAGAACCTGGATCTGGTCAGGACGACAAGTACGAAGAGCACTGATCATCAAGAAGCTTGAAGCGAAGACGATACAGTAGAGTAAGAAGACTAACGAGCGAAAATGCAAACGCATGGTGTTTGTGAATTGTGATTGAACCAACAAGTTGAGGAAATGATTGAACCAAAAAAGAGATATCAAAGATATCAAAGATTTGGTATATATATGTTATTTTATAAGCCCCCTTTAATAAATGTGTGGGGGTCTAATGGCACGTGAAATATCTACGAGTCACATAGTTCATGAAGTAATTCCACGTGGGCATCTCTATAATTTCAACTTAAATTTGACTCTTTACGATGGCTTCAATATCTGATTAGAATTACATACATGCAAGTATGTTCACACTAATTTCAGCAACAAGAGAAGAAATCAACATACAAAAGACTACTCGCATTGGATCAAAAGAACGCACATTAATATGATGATGACTATTCTATTCTGTTTAATATCTTCTCTAGTACTTAATGAATTTTAGTTTACAGATACAGAAAAATAATTTAAGTGGGCCTTTCAACAATTAATAGTTTGGTGAAATGTTATCTTCTCCTGGAATTTTCTGATATTACATTTATTATGAATTTGTTGCGTTACAATACAAAACAAAACAAGTAGCATTAACTTGTTTATCGATTGGAGAAGAAGACATGGTCAAAATTTTCGGTGGACAAGAAGTGGTGACGTGAGAAACTGAGGAGATCCAATGCTACGTCAACCTTTGGGCCTTTCAAAATGGGCCGAAGAAGTATTAGTACTAGCCTCTATTCGGCCCGATTAATTTCAGGGGAAATTTTGGTAATAAAGTTAAAACGACGTCGTGCAAAACTACTGTGTAGACTGAGAAATAAAGAAGCCCTTGATTTGGCCATTAAGCAGTCATTTCTCTCGAATCTCTCTATAATCCGATCTGAGAAATTTCGCCGGAGCTAGGTTTCGTTGTTTATCGATCGATCAATCCTTTAATCAATGGCAATGGCTGTTTTCCGTCGTGAAGGGAGGCGTCTCCTCCCTTCAATCGCTGCTCGCCCAATCGCTGCTATCCGATCTCCTCTCTCTTCTGACCAGTGAGATCTCTTTCTGTTTCATTCTTATCCTTGCGTATAAGCACATCATTTCGATATTCCTCTGTGGTGCTTTTCTGAATTTGAAATCGTTTGGTGTGATTGAGTCGTTGTTGTTTTCATTTCATTCAAAATTCGAATTGACGAGAATTAATCGAATTGTGTTGTTTGACTCGGGAGATGCTATTGATTGAGGTGTTTTTGAGACTCAGAAATGTTGTGTAAAGCTCGTTTCGTTGAATCTCGTTTTCCTATTGCAAGACGAATTTGATTTGCTTTGTAGAAGAAACTTTGTGATATGTTGTCTAAGCTTGTCACATTTAATCAGCTTCCACCTGATGAGGACTAACCTGTTTAATTTATATCTATCAGTTTGTTTTTGTTTTGTGTGTCATTGTGTTGATGAGGACTAACCTGTTTTTGATTTGTAGGGAGGAGGGACTTCTTGGAGTTCGATCTATCTCAACTCAAGTGGGTAAGTCAAAGCTGATAATATGACATTTATTTTACCTAGTTAGGATTGTGTTCAAAGAAAGCTAAGATGTTCTAATCTCCATGAATTGCTTTACATGTATTCTCTGTGCAGTGCGTAACCGCATGAAGAGTGTTAAGAACATCCAAAAGATCACAAAGGCTATGAAGATGGTTGCTGCTTCCAAGCTTAGAGCAGTTCAAGGCAGAGCTGAGAACTCCCGTGGACTTTGGCAGCCATTTACCGCACTTCTAGGAGATAATCCCAGTATGGTTGGCAATAAAGAGTAGTTCTTTTTTAATCACTTTATGCTAGTATCAATGATCATCTCATTGCTTGCATTGGTATTGAATATTGATGATGACGAACAACCTTTGCTCTTACTATATTCTGAGATATCCATCCTCTTGCTATCTCTCTGTTGTTCTTTTGGATGTGTTTTTGATTTCTAGCGTTACTTGATGTGAAAACCAGGCATTGATGTTAAGAAGAGCGTCGTGGTCACTCTCTCTTCTGACAAGGGTCTCTGTGGTGGAATTAACTCCACTGTTGTTAAAGTGAGCAGGGCTCTGTACAAATTGAATTCTGGTAAGTTTGAAAACACTATCGATGGTTCCGTGGTTTAGTTTTCCTGAATTGTCATATCCGTTTTTTATTCTTATATCATTGCAGGTCCTGAGAAAGAAGTTCAGTTTGTTATTGTCGGAGAGAAAGCAAAGGCTATAATGTTTCGTGACTCGAAGAACGACATTGTCCTCTCTGTAACAGAGCTGAATAAGAACCCACTCAATTATGCTCAGGTAGGTCATAATTGCTAATAGTTAAGAGCATTATTTACTCTCCCTAATCCATTTGTTCTCGAGCTATGTATTGTTGTCTTTAGCGTTTCTTTTGTCTACTTGCTGCTTCAGGTCTCAGTTCTAGCTGATGACATCCTGAAGAACGTTGAATTTGATGCTTTGCGCATTGTCTACAACAAGTTCCATTCAGTTGTTGCATTTCTACCAACTGTCTCCACTGTTTTGTCACCCGAGGTAAGTCATAACTGTCGAACGTCTCAATTTTTACTTAATATTTCACATTCTGCGTAACTATAAACAGAATTGTATATCTGTGTTTTTTTGCATGGAAAGATTATTGAGAAAGAGTCTGAAATTGGAGGAAAACTTGGCGAGCTCGACTCGTATGAGATTGAAGGTGGTGAAACAAAGGGAGAAATATTGCAGAATCTGGCCGAGTTCCAATTCTCTTGTGTAAGTAACCAAGAGCTTTAACTGGATTTATGGTATTTCAGCATAGAAAAAAAACATAACATTTTGGCTGTAAACTTAAACTCTTCTAGGTGATGTTCAATGCGGTTTTGGAGAATGCATGTAGTGAGATGGGAGCAAGAATGTCTGCCATGGACAGCTCAAGCAGAAACGCAGGAGAAATGCTTGACCGTCTCACCCTCACTTACAACAGGACTCGTCAAGCTTCCATTACAACAGAGCTTATCGAGATTATCTCTGGAGCTTCTGCACTTGAAGCTGCTAAATAAGCACATCCGTGTTAGTTCTTTTCTTGGCTCTACTTTTGGTTTTGATATCTATCCACCTTGAAGGAGAAGAGTGTGTTGAAACTCTAAAGGGCTACTGAATCAGTTTCCTTTGCTGACTTCTTGTTGAGACCACCAATCTTTACTCAAACGTTATAATAATAATAAACATCCCTGTAACTTCCAGCAGGATTACAAATATTGGCATTCCCGATTATTATTTTGTAGTGTGTTTTGGGCAAACACCATATACACCGTTTTAATGATCTTTCTTTTTAAAACATCAAAATAAGCGTCATCACTTCGGAATTTGACCCTTTCCCAATTCCAAATTTTACCTTTAGAGATATTAACGTCGACCGGCGTTTGGATCCCACTAGAAAAACTTTTTAGTTCTTTAGTAATTTACTCCAAGTCAAGATATCACTAGAAAGACTTAGCAAACCTCCAAGTCAAGATATCAATAGAAAGACTTAGTAAACGCGCACTACCAAGACGCCAAGACTTAACGACTCATCGGTAAACATGCATGTAACTATAAGATAAGTGACAGCTCCATTGCCAATTGCCAAACCATCTCTACATCTCTTTGCCATAATGTCGAGTACACATCTGCTTTTGAGTTTTCTCTCGGTGTACTCTTACTCTGTCGAGTCTCAGTGTCAAGCATCTTTACTTTAGAAGATCCTGTTGTTGGTCTTGTTGCTTGCCGTCCAAACCATATTCAATGGCGTCCGGTGCGATAACACGACAGGTGAGGTCACTAAGCTACAGTTACCAAGTGGTTGTCTCAGTGGAACCCTGAAGCCCAACAGCAGCCTCTTCAAGTTTCATCAACTTCGTTATCTTGATCTCTCTAAAAACAACTTTGCCTCCTCTTCACTCCCTTCCGAGTTTGGCAATCTCAACAAATTAGAGGTCTTGCGTCTTTCCTCTAATGGCTTTATAGGTCAAGTTCCTTCCTCATTTAATAACCTAAGCCTGCTTTCCTTTTTAGAACTTTCCGGAAAGGAGCTCACTGGTAGTTTCCCACTTATACGGAATCTAACCAAACTCTTACTTTTAGACCTTTCCAATAATCGCTTCTCAACTCTTAAACCCAACAGTAGCCTTTTTGGCTTGCACCACCTTCGTTACCTTGATCTCTCTTTGAACAGTTTCACTTCGTCTTCACTTCCTTCCAGATTAGGCAATCTCAACAATTTAGAGATCTTGGGTCTTTCCTCTAACGGCTTCATCGGCCAAGTTCCTTCCTCATTTAGTAACCTAAGCATGCTAACCTTGTTATACCTTGACAAGAACGAGCTGACCGGTAGTTTCCCACTTGTATGGAATCTAGCCAACCTCTCGATTTTGGACCTTTCCAGTAATAACTTCTCCGGAGCCATACCTTCTTCTCTTCTCACTATGCCTTCCTTGTCATATCTAAATCTCCGTGGAAACCATTTCACAGATCCTCTTAAACTTCCCAACTCCTCTGCTTCATCTCGGCTTGAAACTCTGTTCCTTGGGAATAACCGTTTTGAAGGAAAAATCCTAAAGCCTATCTCAAAGTTCACCACCCTCAAATATCTCGACCTTTCTTTTCTAAACATAAGCTACCCAATTGACTTAAGGCTCTTCTTCACTCTCAAATCTTTGTTGAGACTTGATCTTTCCGGTAATAGTATAATGGCTACTAGTATAAGTTCATATTCCAACATCACAATGAACTTGGATGTTTTGCTCTTGTCACGCTGCGGCCTCAGTGAGTTCCCAAACATCTTAAGAACCTTTAAGAAATTGGAGCATATAGAGATTTCAAGAAATAGAATTGAAGGGAAAATCCCCCAGTGGTTATGGAACCTTCCTCGTCTGAGTTTCCTGAATCTTGGTTACAATTCTTTTGATGGGTTCCAAGGATCGACAAAGGTTTTAGTAAATTCATCAGTGCAGATATTAGTGTTGCCTTTCAACCGTTTTGAAGGAGCATTTCCTAGTCTACCACTCTCTATCAACGTGTTGTCTGCAAGGAACAATAGTTTCACAGGGGACATACCACTTTCAATCTGCAACAGCCCTCTCTCATTGTTCTTGATCTATCCTACAACAACTTCACCGGTCCAGTTCCTCAATGCCTGAGTAACTTCAGGGACGTGAATCTCCGGAAGAACAACTTGGAAGGAAATCTTCCGGACATGTTCTATGCTGGTGCCTCTCTGCGCGCACTTGATGTTGGCTACAATCGACTAACCAAAAAACTTCCAAGGTCTCTACTAAATTGTTCATCTCTACAGTTCTTAAGTGTAGACCACAACCGAATCAAAGACACATTTCCTTTCTGGCTCAAGGCGTTATCCAATTTGCAAGTCCTTACCCTACGGTCAAACAAATTCTATGGTCCTATATCTTCTCCTGATCATGGTCCTCTCGCATTTCCTGAGCTGCGAGTACTTGAAATATCAGATAACAACTTTACTGGAAGCTTTCCACCAAGTTACTTTGTTAATTGGAAAGCAACTTCACTTGAGAGGAATGAAGATGGGAGTTTATATATGGGATACAAAAAGAAAACTTCCAAAGATGGTTACTATACTTACGAAGATACTATAGATTTGCAATACAAAGGTCTATTCATGGAACAGGGCAAGGTCCTTACTTTCTACAGCGCCATTGATTTTTCTGGAAACAGATTTGAAGGATTGATTCCTGAATCCATTGGTCTCTTGAAGACTTTGATTGCGCTCAACTTATCGAACAACGGATTCACAGGCCATATTCCTCTTTCTTTGGTCAATGTTACAGACCTCGAGTCACTAGACCTGTCAAGAAACCAACTCTCTGGGACTATTCCCAGTGGCCTCAAGACTCTCTCGTTTTTGGCGTACATAAATGTATCTCATAACCAACTCAAAGGTGAAATACCACAAGGAACACAAATCACTGGGCAATCTAAATCCTCCTTTGAAGGGAATGCAGGGCTTTGTGGTCTTCCTCTAGAACAAAGTTGCTTCCGCTCTAGTGTGCCAGCGATACAACCAAAGCAAGAAGACGAAGAAGAAGACAAAGGAGAGGTGTTGAACTGGAAAGCAGTGGCTATAGGATATGCTCCTGGAGTGTTGTTTGGATTGGCAATAGCAAAACTCATTGCTTCATACAAGCCAGAGTGGCTCGTCAAAATTATTGGTCCTGAAAAGCGCAAACACCGTTAGAGGATTGACTTGGTTTTACGTGTGATCTTTGAATGTCTATATCAAAACCTTGCTGGTTTTGTTATGTAGTGGTTCCTTATGTTTATTTGTATCTTCATGTGAAACTTTGTTCTATTTCCTTTTCAATAAAGTAAAAATGCTGAAAGTTGGATAAATCTTATAAGATAGAAGGAATGAGAAAAATGATGACATGTGGGAAGGGAAAACTAGGTTTTGACTCATCATCGCTTCTTCTCCAATTCCTCTGTCCCAGAAAAGTAACAAGTTACTCTGTTTCGTAAAGTATATAATGAAGAAACAGAGTAGATGAGAGGAAAAAGCAAAGCAAAGTGATAAAAAGGAACAACAGTCGTTTCAGTTGTCTCTATGTATCATAAATCGTAGTACCAACTGTACAGAAAAAAAAGCTGTAAGATAATAAGAACTTTCTCCTAATCCATTCTATGTTTCATAAATCGCAGTAACAACTGCACCTGCTCTGTTCTACTTTTTTCCTTTCTATACAAGGCAAGAATCATTTCTAAAGTCATATACATCTCTCTTTCTCTCTTTCTCTCTGTTTTATCAATCATGTAAGACCTGGTGGAGAGTTGTAAAACCACTCTTACAAATTTTTCCTACAGTTGCATTCATATCCTTGCAATCATCTTCTCCACCCACTGATTGCAAATAGTAATCTCTGTCGTTATCTGGTGTTCGCTCGTCAATGGCATTGCGGATGTCTCTGACGGTTTGGTCTGATCTAAAAGGAATATCTACCGGTATCACAGACCCCCCATCGTGCAAGTAGATAGTTAGTGTAATAGTAGTCGGTGCAACTTGATGCTCCACACTTGTCCTGTCTTGGATGGTCAGAGGATCATGAAATGTTTCCATGCTTGAATCTTCCTCAGCAGCCTTACCCTTCAATTTGTTCTGACATATTATGAAAACAAAACTCAATGCTCAAAAGGGAAAATAGAGAAAACAAAAAAAAAAAGGCCAAATCCAAAAAAAGACCATCAATAGGTTGCTAACTCCTAACGTAAAACTAAGATTCCAATTCTTCATTGCCAGGTTATGTTTTAAGCTAAGCTTTCAAGCAAACACATTTCGAGAAAAGAGCAAGACCATAGTAAATAGTGCATAGGAATAGAAAGAAAGTTACATTCACTTGAGACGACACCATTGGAAGATTAGGTATGGTGACACTTTCATCGCTACTTTCTCTGAGTGACTCTTCTGTCTCGGTCGGGTCTATGTTCATCAAACTGTACAAGTAGGTGAGAAAAAAAGATTCAGATAAGGATGTTCAGAGATCTTGAAAGAAGAGCAGAGAGATTCATACTAAGTATCATCAGGAAGTCACCTAGAAGAAGAGCTCCTGAAAGCCTGAAACTGTGATTGTGAAGGTAATCCTATCAATGGAACAGGCGGATTGGATGTTACATCCTCTGAGAACCCAGTTGTTGGACGTATACCCTCGTCCATGAAATAGTTGATGGCCTCTTGTACATGCCATTTGCAGCGATCGAGGTAAGCGACTGCGACATCTGGATGCGCTCCAACAATATCACAGAAGTCCTTGATTTTTACAGCATTGGATCCAGACGATTGTTCCTCTATCTTTGGCGGAAGTTGCTCTGGCTGAATCCGCATCTCATTCGAAATCCGACGTGAGTTCATTACCAGTGGCCTCGCTGTTGGTGACTCCCACTCTGGTACCGCGGATATATCATTCACCGAAACCACTGGCAAAGATCTAACCTTGAGGGGAGGCAAGGTTTTACTGCGGCAAGCCTCAATCGCCGTAGCCAAATCAGAATCGAAGGATTCGAGGTAATAGAGTGCTTCATTTCGACACACTCCAGTTTCACTGCAGATTCTATCAAGATTATATGGCGGAGGGTGGTCTTCCTTGTTTTCAGCAGAAGTGCTACTTCCCTGAATCTGAATGTAGAAAATGCAAACAGTTTTGTGTGATTAACACATGGATAAAGAATCAACTTTCATTTTCTCTAAAGTTCCTTCATCATAGAACACAAAGCTGTGTGCATCAATCAACATAGCGTTCCCTTCTTTATAAAAACATTCTTAAGAAAACAGAGAACAACAAAGCCAACTAAGATTCCCATTCTTCACTGAAATACAGAGAGAAAGAGAAGATTACTTACCTGTTCTTGAGAGGAAGACATTATAGGTACATCGTGTAAATCTCCCATCTCATCCACATCAACGTTCATCAAACTGTACAAAAACATTTTATCAGGAATCAACTAAACCCTAAATCAATAACTCACCAGAAATCGAATTCTTGGAGACAAAATCACAAGAAAAGTAAAGGAAATTACTCAGAGGAAGAAGAGTTGCCGATTTGATAGCCAAGAGAAGCATGAAACTGAGATAGTGAAGGTAAATCTAATGATGGAAGAGGCGGAGCACTATGGTCCATCAAATCCATAGCCAACGCCGTGGATGTTTCATCTTGTGAGAATCCTTCCAAATTCGAAACCCCAATCATCGGTGGCATATAACCCTCTTGAAACTGCTGCAAATACGACTGATCAATCTCCGGAATATCCCAATCATCGGCATATGAAGTACGCTGCTGCGAATATCGCTGGTTACAGTAATGGTCCCCGGCTCTCTCCACATCCCAATTGAAGCGCTCGAGCAAAGAGAGGACTTCTTGCGGAGGCAATTCAGGAGCCACTTCTTGGAATAAAACGATGCGTTCTTGCTGCGTTCTTGCTTCGATTCAGACGATAGTTCCTTCGCCGGATTCAAAACGATCCTTTTTCTTGGCGGAATCTGATTCGAACTCCGACTTGGATAATTGATCGATCTTGGCGGTGTTGACGGACCCTGATTCGAAACCCGAGGTGGATTTATCGTTACTGGAGTAGCTGAAGACTCCGCCGCCGTGGATTGCTCGTTAACTGAAATCTCCGGCGAAGATTTGACTTTGACGGAAGGCAAGGTTTTGACGCGGCAAGCTTCCACCGCCGTAGCCAAATTCCAATCGTATCCTTCGAGGTAATAGAGTGCTTCTTCTCGAGATGCTCCAGTTTCGTCGCAGATTCGGTTCACTTCCGTTGGATCAGCCATCGTCGTCTTCAAATTGGGCGGGACTTTCTACTTTTTCAGAATCTTTTCAAGACGACGACGAGAATGATAATTTTCAAGATGACGCCGTTTTTTTATAGTAGAGTTTGAAACGACGTTGAGGAACTCTGTTACAATTTCAAAACGCTAGGGGTAAAACTGTAAATAACAATAACAGAAGCAAGAAGAGGAAACCATTCTAAATTGGGAAAAATGTCGTTTAATAGGTGAACTTTGAAAAAATGGTCATTTAATACGTGAATTTTAAAAAAATTGTCATTTAATACGTGAACTTCTTATATGGCCAAATAAAACATGACAAAAACGTTGACCGGCCATTTTACATATACATAACTGTTGACCAGGCCAAAAACAACGCGACGTTATCTGTCGTTAGTAGATCCGATAACAGCCGTTAGCACACGTTAACAATTCCGTTATTACCCAAAACGATGTCGTTTTGTGCTTAGCAAAAAAATAAAAAAAATTCCCAGCAGATTATCAGATCTACGCACCCTCACGAAGAAGACAAAGACGAATCAATAGCTTCTGTAATCTCTTCCTCTCCTTTTCTATGCAAATCATCCTCCAAGGTTAATCATCTATCCTGCATTTCTCTTCTCTCTCGATTTCACATTTTCTCAATTTGTTATAGCTTTTTCGAATTTCGCTGAATGATTTGGGGATTTATTCGTTTCCTAAATCTTCTCAGATTTCAATTCATCGATTCGATGTCAAAAGAAATCGATCTCACGGAAAATTGTTTCGGTTATGGCTCCCCAAAAGGATCGGCCTCCAGGAACCACATGATCGTTATAAGCTTCTTCTTCTTCTTCTTCTTCTTCTTCTTCTTTCTCTCTCGTTTGATTTTACTTCAATGGTTTTGTGTGTTGGATTTTATCAGGTGAAAACGGGGATGACAATGACGGAGAAGATTCTAGCTAGAGCTTCTGAGAAATCATTAGTGGTTCCCGGTGATAACGTTTGGGTTAATGTTGATGTTCTTATGACTCATGATGTTTGTGGACCTCGTGCTTTTGGTATCTTCAAGAGAGAGTTTGGTGAATCTGTTGGAAATTTGTTGGAAATCTTTTATCTGGTGAAAACTGGGATGACAATGACGAAGAAGACGAAGACGAATCAATGGCTTCTGTAATCTTTTTTTTCTTTTGATAATCTGCTGGGAATTTTTTTTTTTTTTTTTTGCTAAGCACAAAACGACGTCGTTTTGGATAATAACGGAATTGTTAACGTGTGCTAACGACTGTTATCGGATCTGTTAACGACAGATAACGTCGCGTTGTTTTTGGCCTGGTCAACGGTTATGTATGTGTAAAATGGCCGGTCAACGTTTTTGTCATGTTTTATTTGGCCATATAAGAAGTTCACGTATTAAATGGCCATTTTTTGAAAGTTCACCTATTAAACGATATTTTTCCCATTCTAAAATATGTTAATTGTTAGAGAATAATTTTGGTTTTGGTATTATATGTTTAATTATAGTTTTTTTTTTACGTCTAAATTTATTATTTTATTACAAATTATGAGAACTGTTACATAGACGATTCTACAACGGACAATTCCTTCCGACCCTTATTAGATCCACGACAGACGACACTTCCTTCTCTATGCTCTTGACGGACACCTTCAATGATCCACGACCTGACGACACTTCTCTCTCTGCGTAGAATCCTGGCGAACGGCTATAATTGTACTTCGCTGGAGATCTCCTGCACACTTGTCTCCTTTAATCTGCAAATTTATGAATAAATCGCAATATCTGGGACTCGAACCCCAGACCTCTTGGTGTAGAAGCATTAATTAACCCTTGGTCAACCAATGGACCAAGGAGAATTCCGTTTAATTATAGTTACATATGATTTTGTAATTTTCAGAAAAGAAAAGAATACGAACACCAATATCCATTGCTGAATTTCTGAAAGACCCTCTCTATTTTTTTATAGACTCACATTATTAAATAATATTATCTTTTATTTTATTATTACTTTTATAATTGAAAGACTATGGTAAGAGACTTGCATTGAACAAACTCTTAGTTCTTCTGCTCTTCATACAAGTCAAAATTCCCGGATCGTGGGAATTCTAATAGATAAGATAAGTAGATTGAAGTAAAGTCAATGTAAAATGGTAATGTATAAAATATTACTAAAAGGGGTACAAAACCCAAACACAATAGTTACGGCCTAAGCAATGTACCACGCAACGGGGGACAAAAATAGAAGATAATATATAGGGAGCATCATATGCCAAAGAAAAGCTATAAATCTTTCAATCAAAGTGAAGTCTTCAAAAAATCTAAGAAACATATCTTGATAATCATTTACCTAAAGTCGACCCCCAAATTTTTGTGTGCATCAATGAGATAATGAATTGGTATGTAGGCCAATGTCGCAATTGTGAGAAACGCAATCATCTCATTGCCGCTTTGAACATAAGTCGACTATCAGCTCATGTAGATCAAAAGTATTGAAATTGATTTTACTAAAAGTTGCAAAATTAATTATTATATGTTGTAAAAAACATTTATCCTTAGATTTTTCTCTTAAACTTATAAAAAAATACTTGGTAAATAAATCCAAAGTAAAATACGTATTAAACAAGGAAGCTACGAATCTTATGTTTGAATCTGTCAAGGTTGTGTCTCGAGTGGTAAAGTCCACTAACAAATTGTGTTACCTCAGTGTAATGTTTTCAAGATAAGTGACGAAATAACATTGAAGAAAGTAGCAACTCACCTCTGATGGTGCCACGCTCGGAAGTGATGAGGTAAGAAGTAATCACAAAATCATAATACATACCAAGCACAAATATTTTGGAGCACCAACACATGCAAATGGAATTGAGACTTATGAGATATGTCAGTCAAGACTCCTAGTATCTCCTTCGACAATTTGAAGAAAGTATGATCGATAAAATTCATTAGATATAACACAATCCTGTTAAATCAGAGATTTTAGAAAGAGTCCTACGCCATTCACACCAATCTTCAAAGAATATATGCACATAATTAGCTATGTGAAGTCCACTGCCACATTTTTTTGTTCATCAATGATGTACCGAATTGGTACAAAAAGCAAAGTCGCAGCGGTAAGAAACGTGATCATCTCATTGCAACGTTTTACATAAGATGACCATTGGTTCCTGAAAATCGAAAGTATAAAAACAAAAAGCTCTTCATGTAAATGAATTATCATATGCTGCCAAATATTAAATGAAAGCATTTATCTTATGTTATTTTTGGATTTTATAATAATTTCTCTCTAATAGAAAGAACGGATGAATAGATCAAAATAAAAAAAAAAGAGGTCCATGTAAATCTGTAAAATAAATCGAAATAAAAATTATAGTCTCACCGATTTACGGCGCTTCCAAGGTATTGCAAATTTTCTTGCGTCATTGTACAGAAAGTATCAAATTCGGATCCATCGGTTGCTCTTCCAGCTTCCTCAAAGTGCCTTGCAACGGCGGGTCAGCCTTGTCTCTTTCTTTCGATGATGGAGGCTCGACTTTTTTTGACGAGGACAAAGTGAGTATTATTGGTTGTGATGCCCTTGTGGCTTGACTACAAGAACGGTGTATATTGATTCAACAAAGAAAACAAAAAAACCTTATAGTTTTGTAAGCTACCTCTCACACAAACCGTCAACCTCAGCAAATTCCATATTTTCTTGGGAATCAAGAAACTCATCACCATGAAAGAATTTGAATCATAAAAACATATGCTTCTTGGAGACGAAATTGCTAAACAAGAAGGGAAAGTAATTACTTAGAAAAGGAGCTCCCGGTTTTGACTTGTTTCAAGTTATTTTGCTTTGCATGAAACTGCGATGGTGAAGAAGATAATAATACCATCAATGGACATATATCCTGTATTAACTCCTTGGATGCCCAGGCCTAATCATTTTCTTGCTCAAACAGCGTCCTTTCATAGTGCAATCTAAAGGACGTCGTGTATTCATTATTCAATAACACCCACAAACGCGAGTGGCAAATATGTAAATAACAATAATTTAAACACTTTATGCAAGAAGAGAGACCAAATGGGTTGTGCAAAAATAATCTGCTAAAATAACTTTGAAGAGAAAATTAGCATTGGTACCACATTTGGCCCAAAAGTTATCCCCTCTACCACATTAGAGGCCCAATTAGCATTCATACCACATTGTGCTTAAAAATGACCATTTTACCCTCCAACCGGTGAGATAAGGAACTGCGGTTGATGTGACCCTCCGAAATTCCTGCCATCCTTTGTCTCTCTTCTGGCGCATTGGTAACCGTTTTCGTCTCTCTGGTTGGTAAAACAAATTGTCCCCAAGTAAATGCAGATCTTCGTCTTCGGCTCTCTGGCGGAATAAAATAAAAATCAAATTGTCTCCGAGTAAATCCAGATCTCTGGCTGGTAAAACCACATCATCTGGCGATGGACAATCAAGATAAGCTGTCCCCGAGTAAATCTAGATCTCTGGCTGGTAAAACCACATCATCTGGCGATGGACAATCAAGAGATCCAGTTTCCCCGATCCAGTTGTCCCTGAATTTTACCCATATCATCTCCCCAAACGTTTTTATCAATTAATTACTTGCCTTGACCTAGGCCTGGGAACTATTATCCGGGATCCGGGATCCGATCCGGGATCCGCTCCGATCCGCTCCAAAAAATAAGATATCCGGGGTGTCCGGATCTGGATCCGGATAATAAATTCTCGGATCCGGATCCGGATAGTTCAAAAATTTACCACCGGATATCCGGATCCGTATTTATAATGCTTTATAGTCTCTGGCCTGTAGTTTATGAAATATAATTAGTTACTTTTGTTAGTGGGCCATACAAATTCCCTTATGGGCTCGTGAATGTTAATGGATCTAACAAATTATTTAAATAAAAAAACAATTGCAAACACAAATACGAATACCTACGATCTCTTCAACCTAATAACCCTAATTATTTGTTCTAGCAACGAATCTGGAAACCACGAACCCTAAAACGGGTGAGATCGGAGATAAAACACAAAATCCGGAATTAGATCTTCGTGAACCCAATTCGTTATTTTCAGATTAGCTTCTTCTCTTTTCTCCTTTGATTCGAATTCCCCAGTTTGGTTTTAGATCTGCTTCTTTTCTTTTCTCTGTTAATTTGATGATATTTTCTGCGTTGAATCACCGGATCTAGAAGAAGACGACAACGCATATCTGGTGGTGATACGGAGAAGAAGGTGGTGGTCGCGGATCCGGATATCCGTGGATATCCGGTTTTTTGGATGGATACCCGGGATCCGGATATCCAGTAGCAACGGATCCGGATCCGGATAGTATTTTCATAGATCCGCCGGATACGGATCCGGATCCGGATAGCCCAAAAATCCCGGATATCTGGATCCGTCACAGGGCTACCTTGACCTAGTAATTAATGTTTTGTATTATATTTTAATTTTAATGTCTAATAATCATTGTCACCAGTTAATGTGGTTGTTCACCTTTTTTAACATACTGTACTTTTTCTGATGCATAGTACATTTATTCTTTCTCTTTCTACCGAGTCATAAGGGGCAAAATTATCCATCGTCTACCACAATACTACAAACAAGTGGTATAAGTGCTAAACCATACTCCATTATGGTAGAGATGCTAAGGAATTTGAAAAATGTGGTACATTTGGCAAAAATCCCAATTTTGAATCTATATTGATAATTAATATTTATATACTCCTCTCACTCATTAAAAAAAGGTTGAGAACTACAAAAATATATATGGAAAAATGGGTGCCAAAGTTGCAAATAAACCACATTTTCTTTTGTTTCGTATTAGAATTTTTTATAATAGTAAAAAATCACTATCTCTAAAAGTTGTAACCAAGCTCACATCATATCTGCAAGTTTCTTCTTCAAGTTTCTGCTCCTCAAGCTATAAGTCTCGAAAACACACTGACCAAAAAAGCAGTATCGTACGTGCAAGCCTCAGGTGAATGAATCACTTTCCTTTCAATAACACTCGGCTCGGACCGTCCTTACCAATTATCGTATTTTTCATGTACATCCAAGGAAAGGAAACCTTTGTGTTCATTAAAAGGAGTGATCGACGCGCCTCTATGATGAACCCTAGTCGGATATTTTGGACCGTTCCCCACTAGATAACTTGTTTTCATCGGATTCGGCCCTACATTGTAGTCAAGATTTCGGGTGTTATGGTTCCTTGATGACACTCAAGATTGGTGTTTGGTTTTTGGAGATGATTGGAATGACAGCAAAGTGATAAAAGGAACAACGGCTGTTTCAAATCTCTCTATGTTTCATTAATCGATTCATACTATACAGAATAAAAAAAACTATAAGAAAACTCTCTTTATCCATTCCTATATCTCATAACAAGTATAAAGCTGCTCTGTTCTATTTTTTCCTTTCTATACAAGGCAAGAATCCTTTCTAAAGTCATATACATCTCTCCCTCTCTCTATATGTTTCATCAATCAATGGAAACTGTGCAAAAACCAAAGCTACAGGTAGATCTGGAGGAGAGTTGTATCACCAGTAGATATTTCATGTACAGTAATATCCGGATCCTTGTAATCTACTTCAGCCCCTGATCGCAAAAAGTAGTCTTTGTCGTCATCTGGTGTTAGCTCGTCAATGGCATCACGGATGTCTCTGACGGTTTGGTTTGATCTAAAAGGAATATTTACCAATCGCCCATCGGCCAAGATGATAGTTATTGTAATAGTACTCCCCGCAGCTTGAGGCCCCACAACAATCCTGTCTTGGTAAGCAACATGATCAGGGAATGTCTCCATGCTTGAGTCTTTCTCAACACCCTCACCCTTAAAGTTAAGTCAAAACAAAATACTCAGAAGAGAAAGTTGAGAAATGTTACCAGTAACTGTATATCAATGTTGAGTTCCCTTTTTTTTATAACCATCTTAGGAAAACAGATAAAGCCAAGCCAAAGAAAGGCCATTAACACATAATAGAATGTTAAGTCCTTATATCGAACTAAGATCCACATTGCCTACTTCAGTTTTGAGTTAGCTTTTAACAAACATAGTTCGAGAAACCAAGCAAGAGGAAGAAAAGGTTACATACATCCACTTGAGACGACGCCATTCCAAGAATAGCTACTGCGGCGTTTTCTTTACCAGCCTCTTCGAGTGACCTTTCTGACTTGGTCGGATCAACCTCCATCAAACTGTACAAGTAAGCGAATGGCGGAAAAAACATTCAGAACTGGAAGTTTAGCGATCAGACAGGAGAGAGATTCATACTAAGTATACTCTATAAACCAGCATCTACGGGACTAGTTCATACTTCTTGGAGATAAAATCGCAAGTTAAAAACTGAGAGCAAATAGAGAAGAAAAGGAAATCACCTAGAAGTGCTTCCTTCTTTCAAGTAACCAAGTGAAGCCTGAAACTGCGATTGTGAAGGTAATTCGATGGATGGAAGAGGCAGCTCTCTGTTCTCCTTCAAACTCATAGCTATTTCTGCTGACATTTCATGCTCTGAGAACCCATGTAATACGGGGTTTTCTTCACCTGCCTCTTGGAGTGACCTTTCTGACTCTGTCCGATCAACCTCCATCAAACTGTACAAGTAATCGAATGGCAGGAAAAAGATTCAGAAATGGAAGCTTAGAGATCCTGAAAGGACAGGAGAGAGATTCATACTAAGCATACTCTATAAATCAACATCTACGGGTATATTTCATGCTTCTTGGAGACAAAATCGAAAGTAAAAAAGGGAGAGAGAAGAAAAAGAAATCACCTAGAAGTGCTTCCATCTGTAAAGTAACCAAGTGAAGCCTGAAACTGTGATTGTGAAGGTAATTCGATAGATGGAAGAGGCAGCCCTCTGTTATCCTTCGAACTCATAGCGATTGCCTTTGAGAACCTGTCCATATAAAAGGCGACGGCTCGGTCTACATCCCAATTGCAGAGTTTAAGGCAATCGATTGCCTCCTCTCTAGTCGCTCCACCAACCACATTACTGAATGAAGAGATGCGTTCATAATTGAATTGAGATAGTTGCACTGGCAAATTAGGCGGCGCCTCAGCAGATGCCTCGCTCACCGAAACCTCCGGCAAGATTCGATCAACCCAAGTTTCCTCCGGTGGCCAAATACTTTTTAATTCCTGGATATTTTGAATCTGAATGGAGAAATGCAGGAAGTGTATGCATCAACATTGAGTTCCATTCTTTTTAACTATCGTACGAAAACAAACAAGGCCAAGCCAAAGAAATACTTCTAGCCATATAATGGAGAGAAAGAGAAGATTACACTACCTTGACTTGAGATGACGCCATTAGAGGTACAGCTTCAGGGGTATGTTCTCCTCTCGAGTCAACCTCCATCGAACTGATAAAAGTAAGAAAATGACGAAAATTACACAAAAACCCTAAATCAAGAAATTCATCAGAATAGAAATCGAATCAGAAAGAAAAACCCTAAGCACATAATACGAAACCAATCCATACTCAAAAGAAGAGCTCCCGATTTTGAGTGGTTTCGAGTAATCTTGAAACTGCGGTTTTGAAACTAATCGTAGAGGATTCGACTTCTTTTGAGAAGGCGGTGGACGGCGCTCGACCAAGAAAGAGTCGACTGCTAGGTTTATATTCCAATTTCTGCGCTCGAGGTAAGCGCGTGCCTCTTCTACACTAGCTCCAACAAGCACTTCGCAAAATCCTGCAATACTCTGATTTCTCGATTGTTCATCCGGCGGATTCCAACTCGGACCAGAATCGATCATTAATGGCAGTGTCGACGGCGTATTAGACGCGAATTTCTTGTTCACCGGCGAAGAGTCAACTGCGAGGGACGACAACGGCAAGGTTTGGTTGCGGCAAGCCTCTAACGCCGAATCAAAATTCCATTGGAATCCGTCGAGGTAACAGAGTGCTTCTTCTCTACATACTTCAAGTTCATCGCAGATTCGATCAATCGGATTAGCCATCGTCGTCGGCGGAAGGTGTTCGTCCCCAATTTGGGCGGGACTTGTACTTTTTTCCAAGAAGACGATGATTTTCTTGCTTAAAACAGTGTCGTTTAGAGTATAAGACGACGTCGTATAATGTGATTTAATCCACAAAACGCCAAGGGTAAAAAAGGTAAGTAACAGTAAACTGCAAAAAACAGAGGCAAAGAGAAGAGACCGTTCCAACTTCTAAACTAGTAAAATCGACAAAATAAAAAACTTTAATCTATATTGATACTATTATACACACTTTTTTATTTTATTTTTTTTTTCGTCTAGATTTATTATTTATTGCAAATTATGAGAACTGTTACATAGACGATTCTATAACGGACAATTCCTTCCGACTCTTATTAGATCCACGACAGACGACACTTCCTTCTCCATGTTCTTGACGGACACCTTCAATGATCCACGACCTGACGACACTTCTCTCTTTGCGTAGAATCCTGGCGAACGGCTATAATTGTACTTCGCTGGAGATCTCCTGTACACTTGCCTCCTTTAATCTGCAAATTTATTAATAAATCGTAATCTCTGGGACTCGAACCCCAGACCTCTTGGTGTAGAAGCATTAATTAACCCTTGATCAACCAATGGGCCAAGGGGGCTTCCACACACACTTTTTTATTTAAACACACGAAAAATTGTTGAGAAGAAAAACTCTAACAATATAGAAATGGCAAAATGGGTGCAAAATAAAACCACATTTTCTATTTTTGTACTGATTTTTTTTAATAAAAACTATCTCTTATAAGTTGCAACCAAGCTCACATCTTCTTCTTCAAGTTTTTGCTCCTCAAGCTCTATAAGTCTCGCAAACACACCGACCAAAGGAGCAGTATTGTACGTACAAGCCTCTGTTTGAACGTAATTATCCCTCCGGTCATCAAATTCATCCTGTTCATCCGGCCCTCCGACCAAAGCCCCGACTAAAACACTCGGATTTGGCTCAGACCGTCCGTACCAATTATCATATCCTTGAGTACATCCAATAAACCCTTTGTGTTCTTTAAAAGAAGCGATAGACGCGCCTCGATGATGAACCCTAGTCGGGTATTTTGGACCGTACCCGACAAGATAGCTTGTTTCCATCGGATTCGATCCTAAAATGTAATCGATTTGGGATTTCGCAAAGCCAAGCATCTCATCAGGAGTTACGGTTCCTTCGTGACACTCGAGATCGGTGTTTGATTTTCGGAGATGATCCGAATATACGGTTAGGAGGAAAGATGCGGTGGATACGTATTGCATATTGTTCCATTGCCGGACGTAGAGTAAACCAGCCGGAGTTCGCTGAACGTTTGTGCCGTTGATATTCTTGTTGAGAATTGAGCATAGGTAATGATCCGCCTTTGATTTGTATTGTTGTAGGACTTTAGAATGTTGCTTGTGCTTTTCTTCTTTTAGCAACTGAGATATGAGGCAACAAACCATAAATAAATAAAATAAAATAAAAATATTTAAAAGAAAACAAGTTAGTGTTCATTTGAAAAAAAATATATATGTTAATAAAATAGTAACACCTACTCCATATTGTTAATTAGCAAGTAATTAAATTGATTTTAATTGAATCTTCAGCCAACTAACTTACTTTCTTTATATAAAGCAGCAAATACTTTTCAATTTTTTGGTGAATTAGAAGTATAATAGTGTTAGTGCTTAAACTTTAATAAATTTCGTTGACTAATTTATGCATAACATAATTTTTAAAAAAATTATGCATAAGATAGCTGATTTATCAAGTAGGTTTAAAATCACGTGCCATGAAACAGAACCATTTAAAGAGACGTATCCGCTTATAGGAACAAAAACACGTGACCTTTAGCTCTGTTTCTGCTTCATAACTAACTTTTTTTCTAAATGCTAGTACTAATATTTAGTTACAAAGTATTTCATTTAATTTGTTGCATACAAAGAGAAAATATTTGAATAGTTGTTGTACATATGTAACGTGGGGGTGGGGAATACCTTACTTTTGGTAATTCAACGTGAGAACGTTAAAACTTGATAATCACTTCACATATAAGGCAATAATAAGATTCTACTTATCTTATTAAATTAGACTAATATAAGAGGTTAGTGCTATAAATATTTCCCTTTACCAAAAAAAACAGTTGAACAATATTTAAGCACTAACAATTTAAAATCAACGAGAAAAACTATTCGACTTTTTTCTCTCTCCTTTCTCTCCTCCTTCTCTCTAGGGTTTTCTTCTTTTTTCGCCGTTTGCCTCTCCGGCCTGCCCTTCCGGTGCCGGAGAGGGCTTTTCCGTCAGTAGTTGGTTCTGGTGACGCCTCCCTCCCGTCAGCGTTTCATCTCTTCACCGATGGAGCTGTCCTCCGTTACAGATCTGGACTCATGGTGGTGGTTTCGGAGTTCGTGGCGGCGCGTGTAGCGGAAAGAAGCTTCTGTGTGGCTGTTGGGGTCATCGTGGTTCGGGTGCTTGAGGACGGCTCCGCTCCTGTGGTGATTTCTGGCAGATCTGGGTGGGTTTCCTTTCCTGTGTCGTTCGCTCCGGTGGTTAGGTGGCTTTGGTGAGCTATGGGCTTCGGCTTTTCTTCGGGTTAGCTTCGGGGGTCGGATCCTGGTAGCTTGTTACCGGATCTGTGACTTTTCCCTTCCAGCTGCTGCGGTTGTTTCGTCGGAGAGTAAGTGGTGGATTCGTTTTTCGGGGTTGGCTTGGGGGTGCTTTATTTTCAGGTCTTGGTTTTTGCTTTAGATTCAGCTGTGGGCTAGCTCCACCTCCGACCGTGGAGGTGTAGTTCCTTCTTCCTCTATGATGCAGTTTTGGCTCCGGTTTGGTGGGCGTGAGGACGATGTGGTCGGGACCTGGTAGAGGACGCCAGTGTGCTCGCCGAGCTGTCTTCGCGCTGCTCAACCATCGGATTGGAGGTCGTGACTGCGGCGGAAGTCTGGAGAGGAAGGTGGGTTTGTTCCAGGCCCGTAGGTTAACTAATGGATCCCTTGGGATTCAAAAGGCTTGCGTGGGGCACTGGTTTTTGGGTGTTGGCTAGAGCATCCAACTCCTCAAACCGGCACGTTATTGCTTCCTGGGACTGGACTTCATGTAAACCCTAGCTCGGAAGAGTCTGAGATCGCCAGAATTGGAAGTCGGGGTTACATCTGGGCATGTTGGATTGCTTGGCATGAGATCCGACATCGTGGAGCCGCAATTCGGGGTTTGAGCAATTCGGAGGATCTGTAATGGGACTGGTGGTTCGCCGGAATGGCAACGGGACGGGAGTCCGGAAACTTCCCTCCCTGTTTTCCGTTTCTGGGGTTCAATTGCAAAGTCGTGGATCCTGTTTCCGCCGTGTATGTTGCTCGGAGTTTCTGATTTCGGTCTGTCAGCAGGATGAGATCCGACTACTAGTTCTGGGCCGATTTTATGAGTATTCTTTTTTGTATCTGAATTCTATTGTAAAATTCAAGGTCAAGCCCAGTTGGGAAGGCCCAGTTTTAATATATTAAAGTTAAAAAAAAAAAAAAAAAAAAAAAAAATATTTAAGCACTAACCATGGAAGCGAGGAGCTGAACGCCGGCGTACTTGACGTCCCAGCTAAACTCGGACATGGCCCAAGAAAGGCCACCTAGTTGGTGAGCCATGTCAACCACATAACTCATATAGTGCTCATTGTCGGTGGCTCGATAAAGCCACGTGGCACCCCATAAAAGCTCGTCCATGTACCCACTCACCGAGGCATAATAACTTTTCACAACTTTTAGACTCTCATCGTATTTTCCTCTGTACTTGTCTCCAAACCCAAACAACTACAACCAAAACCAAAACCATTGCTAAAAGTAAATAAATGTCATACCCAAAAAACATTAAAATGTCGGTTCCAACTGTAACATTAAATTAAATTTAAAATGAGTATGTACTTGTTGGGCATGGTGCAAGAGAAGGTGAGAGTAATGTGGATTTGTTGAACGGAAAACGATCGAAGCTGCCGCCATAGCCGCGGCGGTTTCCCCGGCGATATCTGAACCAGGATTGTTTTCGTCGATCTTGAAAGCTCGCCGTGAAGTCGTCATGTCCTCCGGTCTTTGCCAACAGTAGTGGTCAGTGTCACCGTCGCCTACTTCAGCCCATAAAACATTTGGGCTTGTATGTGCCTTGATGAAGTAGTCTGTTCCCCACTTGATGGCTTCAAGCGCGTGAGATAACTCGCCGGTGGAAGCGAGTGTGTCACCGTACTCTATTACACTCCATGATAACATCGTCACCGTGAAAGCCATGGGCAGTCCAAATTTAACATGATCACCGGCGTCGTGATATCCTCCCACTAAATCCACCTTTAAAACCAAAATTTTAAAATTAAACACATCAATATATAAAACAAATTAAACAATTAATTTCAAAATTTTGAAAGGCTTTTCAAGTCCTCATTTCAAACCAAAGAAAATAATTTCTCAATATGGAAATCAACAATAAATTTCAATATTAATTAGCTTTTATTGTATTAAATAGTTAGAGATTTTCATAACTCTCTTATCAAAATTGAAACTAATAGAAAATTAATTAACAATTAAAGAAATGATTTTGAGTTTTTGACAAAAAAAAACAAACCCCTTGTTCAAGACCATCGGTGAGACCAGAGTGATCACGCCACGTCACGCGCTGGTTATACGGAAGTCTCCCTGATCTCTGAGCTTCAAAGTAGAGTAAGCTTTTAGACAATGCTTCACCGTAGTCAAACCTTCCGACGTCTGTCTCCGACGAAACATCGGCCAACACGGCGGAGAAGACAGTGATCAGAAGGAGAAGGAGGAGGAGAAAATGGCATGGCTTGTGTCGGTGATCCATCACAGTCATTTTTTGAAGATCTCTTTCTTTAGAAAGAAGTCTCTGTTGGAGATGAATAGAGAGAGAGAAAGAAAGCGATGGACTCTCTCACTCACTAGTCTCTATTTTCTCTGCTCTCGCAGGAGAGGGATATATTTGAAAGCTCTGTGGAGTGGTGGAGGAAAGAGTGAGAGAGAGATGATGACGTGACTTTTATTTTTCTTCTTCTTTATTTTTTTTTTGTTTGGTAACTTTTCTTTTTAATCTGAAATATTTCACATGAGAAAATGTCGAGATTTTTGCCTTTTCCACATAGTGGTAATCGCCGTAATTTATGCAGCTAGTTATTGCTTTTGTTGTGCTAATGTAGACGAATTAATTTAAAAGTGCAAGTATAAAATAATTATATATATTACATTTGTTGAAATTTTAGATTTGTATTGTGAGGGTGTTTTATGATACTTTTCCTAATGATTTCAAAAGGTGGTAATAATTTCAACTTATTTAGCAATCTTGTGTAATTTTATAAACTATAGGGAGAAAGTCAGTTGTCCATAGTGTAAGAGCATGTTAGTGTGAGTATCTCTTTTACTCTCTCAAATATATTATTTTAATAAATTTTATATAATTTATTTTTATTTAAAATTTAAAATAGAAATAAAACTCATAATCAATTATGTTGAAATATGTTTCAAATAGTTTTTACAAATGTTTTTAAAATCTTTCAAATGAGAGATTCACACTAAACATGTTCTAACAGACTAACAGTTTAAAATGAGTATGTGGACGATTTGTCTCTTAATTAGTTTCTCTGTGGAATCATAAATATTTCAAGTTTCCATGAAACGGTCCAATTAATTAATAGACTAATTATTATAAATTAATTGGGGAGAACTTCTCAATTAATTATTGTCGTTAAGTGCCTAGGGAATTAATTAATTGGGGAGAACATTTGACGGAGAAGACTAAGGAATTTTCGGAACCGTCAAACGTCATTGCTAGGCAGAGATTCAGTACTGTCGTTAAGTGCCTAATTGCCTTAAGGCTGCTGTAGTGCTGTGTTAGGCAAGAGAATCGTGAATAGTAAGCTAATTTCTCAAATAAAAAACTTGGTTTTGGCTGCATTCAGTGTTAGAAACTACAACGGTTAGTACATTTATATAATATCATATTTAAAAAAATATAATATGATTCAAGTAACAAATCGCAAATGTTAAAACTCAAACTTGTATCCATATGGGTATGAGTATGACTATTAATTTAGTCACATCTATTCATTACTAAACCAAAAACTCCAAATATTCAAAAAATTATGTGGATCTAAATGGGTTTTAAAGATGGACCTGGATCATCTTAATAGTATAAGTTTGCCCACCACCAATAAAAACTGAGGGGTATGACAATGGGCACTAAGAGACACATACACGTGTGCAGTTCCTACAACCATAAATTTCGCAGTAATTCAGGTTTCCGGAGTTTCATGAGGACCGGTTTAATTAAGCGGTTTATCATTTTTCCGAGCACCGACATTTTCAAGTGGGCCTGACCATTTGTTACCATCGAGCTTGCTCGACCGACAACTTGGTCAAAATAGTTTGACTTAAGCAACCAAAAGGTGATTAGCGCCTCTAAGCATGTAGCTAGACGTCAAATTTGATACTTTATGTTGTTAACGGGGAACATGTGTTTATTTGTTTATCATTACTGGTACTATCACTTAAACTATACGAATAGCTGTTGATAAACTAACTATTTTTCATGTTAATTCACACAAATATCGTTATATACACTTTCATTATATCTTTTACAAAATGAAGTTAATTTTGTATTCTATTCTAATCTTTGTAAATCAATTTTGATTTGATGCTATATTGCATATTCTATAGTATAAATCTTACATTATAAATCCTATTCGATATACCTTTAAAATGTTTTTTTATTTTACTTTTATAATGGATTCTCTGTTTTATTTAAGACTATTTTGGCATACGTTGATCAGTAAACCTTTTCTTCTCCAAAAAGCTAAGTATAGTTTCAAATGTGTTAGATCAGATGGCTACAAATGCGGAAAAAAAAAAAAAAAAATCTCGACGACCTTACTTTGATCCACCTACACATTACCGACCATGCCCTTTCTTACTCAGCAGTTAGTTGCTGGTTTATATGAATAAGTTGTGTCATGCATGTTGGTTTAACCAAAGCTTTTTTTGAGTTTTCCTAGTCTTCCTCTTCTTAAGATTTGGAGTTAGATTTTCTTCGATTCTGTTTTCTTTCATTAGTAAATAGAAAGGAGTGAATGTACAAGATACCAGTTTAAGAGTCCCAAGAGCAAAAATTTTGAATTGTTCTCCAGTAGACAGACAAAAGAAGGTTAATTTTCAAAGATAATAGCTAGCTTGAGTCGCAAGAGCGATATTTTTCCAAATATTCATCATGTAATTAGTAGAAAAAGATGATCGTTTCCTATCAGCTTGAGTCACAAACAATTTATAACTGAATTAATTTTTTTAAAAGTAAATAAAACGTCTCTTAGTTTTGATAATTCAGTCGTTAAATCTCACTCTTATAAAGTTTTTAACTATATGAATTTAATTATTCGCCATCTGGTGTGGTTCGTGCAACCCGCTCAATTAACTCCGAATCTATGGAATTAATAATGTTGTCGTTGGTGATTCCCATCATCTTCCAAAGAAAAAAAACTCAATTCTTTTCAAATGATTGAGCACATCACCGACGAACTCGAGCTCCAAAGAAGTTACACTATTTCACCTTACTACGATACTAGTATTAAAAAACAAACTTTTAAGTAGATCAATTATCTTTATTACTTTTCTCTGAGAAAGAAATGAGAAGATAGGAACTTTTTATTAGATCGAAATATCAAATATGTATTTTGCTTTCTAGACGTTAAAATTTTCATAAATCTCCCACCGACGGTCTCACATTTTTTCGACTTTATTCAGAATTCAGATTTAATAAACGTGCCAGAAGCTTATGAGAGGAATCTCTTAAATAAAAAAAGATTCAAGCTTTATTAATTTAGAAATAAGCTAAGAATTTAGATAGCTCATGATTTCTTTATCAAAAACAAAAACTTAAGTAGCTCATACAAAACTTTATTGTGTAAATAAGAAACTAAAAAGGGAAAGAGTAATTAGAAAACACCAAGCTTAGTAAATTTTTGATATAAAAGGTTGAGAACGAGAGTTTCTCCAAATGACAACTCTCAAAATTACCATATATTGATGTTCTAAACACAAATTTATTTGAATCTCTACTGGCTAAAACCTTAGTTACATGGGCTCATAAGACTCTATCTTAAGCTTACTGTTCGAGTTGTTGTAAACCGTGTACGTTCCTCTCCTTCTCGAGATTTCCTATTCGCATTGAAAGTTTGAAACTATCACCCATGAACCACGCACGCACCATCTCTCTGAGACTCTGACTCTGAGTATACATATAAAAGATCAATATTTTTAACAAATTATCTTTGATCCACAACATGAATTCTATAAAAACAAATTGGTAATGAATATATTGGTCTTATGTCTCTTATACTTTTATAAATTATTGTTTTAGGCTTCATCTCATTTCAATGTAAAATTTATACAAAACAAATGTTACCCTAATTTTTGATATGTCATTGTAAAATAATTTTGTTGAATAACGAAAAAATTAGGGTAACATTTGTTTTGTATAAATTTTACAGTTTAGCTGAGTATAGCATAAGGTTTATTGAAGTTTATTGAAGTTAAAAAAAAAAAAGGTTTATTATAGCATAGCATAAGGATTTGTTTTTGAATTTGGTTATTAACATTATGGATCCGCCACCGTCGATTTAATCTCCGGGAAGCTTTGTGGAAAGATGTCGATGGGAAGCGACACGACGTGGGTTGGGAAGAAACCGATCAGGCGCATCGGCGGATTGTCTGATGCTCTCTCTATCGCCTCCGATCTTGGTTTCGCCGTCGCTCCTCCTCCGTCGCATGTAACTTAATCGAAATTTCGTCTCCGGTTTAGCTCAAGGTTTTGCTATTAGGAAAATGCGTATGAGATCTGTAATTTGAAGGAGATTATGTTTCTGAGGAGTGGGGAATTTTAGCTGCTTGTGAGTTTTGCGACCATATGTTTTGATTAGATCTCTGATCTCTTGGCTTTAATATATTGAATCTGAGAATTTTGCTTGAATTAGAGAAGACTTATGGTTATTTATCTGTTTAATTAGCTACATTTTGTGAGAATTCGTATTCATATTGAATCGAGATTATGAGCTCAATCATTTTCCAATGTAGGAAGAATTACAAAGCTTGGCGACTTCGAATGGCGAAAAAGGTGACGATTTGATTAGGGTTTTGAGAGAGTTATCTGCTGTTCAAAGGAAAATTGCAGACTTGCAGGTCGAGCTTCAAGGGAGGAAGGTATCTTTTTCAGGGTTTTGTTTCTCTTTCAAAGTGAAAAATAAGATATGAATCATAGTATTTGCATTGCCTGAAGCTGTATGATAACTTATTGGTATATCTGTTACAATTTTTGTTTAATGCTTTGTATATAACTTCTTTTGTTGGCGAATTTGAGGATGATAAAAATGTGGCGCATTTGACTCATGTGAGTGAAATGCAAAAGAAAATCGAGACTTTGTCAAGGATTACTCAGATATTGAAAGATGTTATACAAAACAAGGTAGATAATTTCTCCTTTTTACTTGCCTCTAACACTCATTTTTTTCTTTTCTTTCTGGATTATGGTTTATGTATCTTTCGAGTTTGTTTATCTATCTTTTCTGCCTTAAAGCCATATCCCTCTTATTCAGTACCTACTCTATCGTTCTGAAAATTGAGAAACTTGCGTAGGATGTTTTGGAAACATTTGCTTCTGAGGACGTCTTAAGACTGCCTTATCTTTGATTCAGTTCGTGAACCACTTGTTGAAGTCTATTATTTCACTTTTCTGTTTATATAACAGGATCGCATCATTGCTCGTCTCCAACAACCTTATTCGCTAGATTGCATTCCAGTTGAAGCAGAATATCAGGTGATTCATGCCATTTGATACTTTTTGCAACTTTGTGGACCAACTAAACCGTATTGCTCTAGTTATCCTAAACTTGATTATTATCTGAAGTTGCACAACTGGAAAACGAAGATGCTATG